CTCTCTCTCTCTCTCTCTCTCTCTCTCTCTCTCTCTCACACACACACACACACACACGTGTTTGTATGTACTTCCAAATTGCTTGTCTTGTACAGGTACCAGTATGATTTGCATGCCCCAGGTGCTGCTTCTCAGTTACGTCTTGCCTCTACAAGGGACCTGAACTTGAACATTTCAGTGTCTAATGCTAATATGATTTTCCAAGCTTATGCAAGCTGGAACAACCTTAGTGATGTCCATGAATCATGTCGAGATAAGGTACGTTATTTTACTCACATTCAAACCTCTTTTTTCTAGTTTTTTTTACCTTTTTCAACATCCGATTCTCTGGCAGTCTGGCTACATATAAGTGGAACTACTATTAATGCTTTGTTTTGGTTTTTGGTTGGTTAAATAGGAAGCAGTTTCTACAACTACAGGAGGAAGACCTATCATTGATGTTCATCACATAAGAAGTTATGTTATCCCGCAGAATAAACTTGGTCAGGACATTTTTATCAGAGCTGCTGAAACCAGGGGACTGCAAAATGTAATTCAGATGCCATCTGGAGATATGAAGCCTCTAAAAGTTCCAGTTTTGAAGAATATGCTAGAGTCCCACTTGAAGGGAAATCTTTACAAGAAACTCAGACCAATGGTAACAATCATCATTGCAGATGCAGAGGTGTGTTTATTGATTTCTTCTGTGTGTGTGTGTATCGTTTAAGATGGCATAGAGTAACTATTAAGATTTGCCTTCTTGACTTGTGAATGCAAATTTACTGGTTGCTGGCAAATTTTTATAATGCTTTGTCCTTTCTTCTCTATGTTGTTTAGAGAATAATCCCAATATACCGCTAAGATTTTTTTTCACAGGCCTTTAAAACCTTCTGTCTGCATCATAAAGAAATATTGATTAGGACTGCAGCTCAATTCCTGCAACTACTTCCTTTAGATAAGTTGTAATTAGCAGGTAAAGTGTCTGCATTGGTATGATACTGCATGGGTTGATTACTCTCGCCCCTACTCTCTAAAGCGTCTTTAAAGGGAAGCCCTGAGCTACCGCTCTCGGGATATCACTAGTGAAGCCTTACCTTCGGTTAAAGATTAGAAAGCCCTTCGCCCTACTAATAAAAGGCTCTATCTCGGATTCGTTGAACTTTCACTTGAGCTTGAGTGGATACTTGTCTATTGCGCATACCGGGTACGAAGTAGTACATATCACCCACATGAATGCGACATCAATCTAAGTAGATCAAAATTAGGAAGCTCTATTTGTCAAAATGCTGGAAATGTAATTCCCTTTTCCTATCCCCCACCCCCTCAAAAAAAAAAATGAAAAAATGAAAAGAAGAAATAAAAAACCCAAAACTGCCCCCAAATTCCACCAGACATGTGAAAAAAGGTCAAAAGAACCGGTTATTGGAAACTAATAGGCGGCTTATGTTACACCCAGGGGCGGAACCACCCGATCCTCAATTTTTTTTGTTATTTTAGATATGAATTTTTAAAATAAAATTTAGATATATTTAATTGTTCCCATCTTATTATTGTGTTATTGTGATATTGATTAGTATAGACCTCTACCTAAATGATTATTAATTTTTGAGCATTGTTATTGATACCTAATTTTAGGACCTAATGCATTGTGATATTAAGGCTAATAGTGAGTCCTTATATGTAATAACATCCACTATCTATCCAATGATCATAAGTCATTGGGTCCCGACCAAATAAAATTCCAAATTAGGTACAACTAGTATTATTCTTAAACTTTTAGATACGTTGACATGTCCGAATAAGTTTTAGACATATTGGAGTCATTTTTCTAAATTATTGGATTATTTTGTTATCATTTAGAAATGAGTGTCATCATGTAATAAATTACAGAATAATAAATGGAAGATTGTTATCACCATTTGGTATATAGAAAAAAGTTTTTAGTAATATATTGATATGTAACGCTTTTAAATGATAAAAACTCATCAAATACAATTGTTAATGACAATAATTAGTTTCATACAAAGTTTTAATTAATTTCTTTTTATTTTTTGTTTGTTCATGTCATGTAAATCGGTTTTTAACTTTTTATGTTTAGTGAATTTTTACGCATTAAATATAATTATAGTAAATATGAGTTTATGAACTTTGTGGTCAAAACAAGTCTTGTCAATATGGGGTGGCCTATTCTGTAGTACTGGATATGGCCTTACACTAGGCATTGTGTTGTAATGTTTCCCTCAACCACTACCAAGTGTTTAGTGTAACTTCCTGTTGACTATGGCTGTAAAATTTTAGGAAGATAAGAATCGTATCAACTTTGCTGGAAAGTTGTAGAATTTGAAGCTGAAAAGTTAGAGCATTTGAAGTTTGGAGCAAAATTTGTTATTTTCTTTTGAAATTGTTTAAATACTAATAGCATTCCATTGTTTTTGATCTTATATTGATATTAGTTATTATCTGTGCCTGAAGGTACAAAGTAATAAAAAAAAATAGTTAACAATAAACATATTTATATTCATACTTAAAATCAAATCACAAACATAAAAAAGAGAGAAAAGAATTTAAATACCGATTGTAGTAGGGGTGATCGGTGGTATTAGTGGTGGTGGGAGACAAAGATGGTTGTGGCGGGTGGTAACGATCGTGGAGATGGTTGTAGTGGATGATAACGATCGTGGTGATGGTGGCAGCCGTGGGTGACAACGGTGATGGTGGTTGGTAATGGTGATGGTGGGGCGACGACAGTGGTGGTGGCGGCGGTGGCGGGTTGTGGTGGTGGACAGTGATGATAGTGGTGGTGGGTGATGACGGGTGTTTTTGAGCGATAATGTGATGGGTGGTAGCGAATGACAATATTGATAATGGTGGTAGGTGTGCTGGGGGTGGGTGACAGTGGATGGCGACAGTGGTGGGTAATGACGGGTGATGGTGATAAGGGTGGATAACAGTGGTTGGCGGCGATGGTGGGAGATGACGAGTGGTTGTGGGTTGTGGTAGTTGGTAGCAGTGGGTGGTGGTGGGCATTAATGGTGGTGATGGGTGCTGGCGGTGGTAGTGGGATGATGGTGGTAATAGCAATAAGTATAAGAATGAGATGACGATGATGGTGGGTGGGTGGTGGCGGTGGACGATGATGTTTTCAATCGATGGTGGGTGGCGTTGGTGGTGGCGATGGCGGTCGCCGATGGGGTACTGGGGGTAATGGTGGGGGTGGGGTGACAGCGACGACGGGGGTGATGACAGCGGCGGTGGGGTAGCGACGACGATGATGGTAGTGGTGATGGTTGTGGGGTTGATAGTGGGGCGGTGGTGGTGGTAGGGGTAATGGTAGGATAGTGGCGTTGGTGGTAGAGTGGCGACAGTGGTGGGGGTGGCGGTGGTGGTGGTGGAGTGGTGGCGACGACAATTGTTATGGCAAAGGTAGCGGTGGGACGGCGGCGGCGGCAGTGGTGGTATTGGTGGTGGTAGTGGTGATGGGGATGGGACAGTGGGGGTGATGGTGATGGTGGTGGGGGTAGTCATGGTGGTGGGGTGGCGGCGGCGGCGGTAGTGGTGATAGTGGGACGGTTTCAAACATTATTTTTTTTTTTTAAAATACTTATGAGAAGTTCTAAGTTCTAAAAGTATTTTTAAAAAGTCACCCACACACACCCTTAGGAGTTTATTTCCTTATTAAATTTGAGGTGTTAATATTAGTCGTTAGATTTACTTTAAAGTAAAATTTAAAGAGATCTCAACTGCGAAAAGTAAAAGTTATTTTGTTTATCTTTTGAGATTTGAATTGTATTGTACTTTATTATATAGATATCTCTGTTTACAATTTTATTTTACACATCTTGTTTGTGGAAGGGTCTTGCATGTTTTAAAGCTACTTCTATGATCTTGATATTCAGTTTCCAAGGGTGGAAGGGTTGTCATCTCATCAGTATGCTGTTACAGTCCGTCTTACTCTAGACCAGAATCTCCCAAGTGGATCGCTTTTGAATCAGCAAAGTGCACGCACGTGTGGTACCGACTCGCCTAATTGCGCATCTTCTGATCTCAAATTTGTGATCTGGAATGAAATGTTCTTCTTTAAAGTTGATTCTCTGGTGTGTACGAAATTGAGCCCTTTTTTTACATTTCAGTAAACATTTTTTTTTGTTATGGTCAATATTATAATGTCATAATGATTGATTTTTTTCTAATTTGGTACTGCATTCCCTTTGCTTAATAAATTATGCTGATTTCTATAAGTTATAGCATCAATTTCTGCTTGAGTGGTGAGTTGCACATCCACGATATCTGTTATATGGTTTGGCAATATTAGTAGTCCATTATCTCGCCTTGCAGAAACTTAACATGGCTATCATAGTTTCTTTAGTGGTTTTCTTCTGCACTGTTTTTAAAGATAAATAATCCTTTTTTTTTTTTGTGTGTGTGTGCTTGTGTTAAGCGTGGACAAAAATTAATATTTATGCAAGTCTTGCCATCGTGTTCAACAGATTCATTGCTAGTTACTAGTGAGGTTCATTTATGTCTTAAAAGGGAAAGATTTATTTTTAAGGTTAGTTTAGAGTATATGTGACTTGTATGTATGTTAACATTTGTCATTTCCGATGGAGAACCACATGTTGGATTAAGATGAAGTGATCAACAATTTACTCTTAAAGACATAAGTAGCTTGGAATCTGTCTGCTGTTTCATTAAACCAGGCCGTGTTTTGGGTTTGTAGTATACTTTGGTAATATGACTTTTTGCCTTGTAAATGGCATGTTCTTCACTTAATTCACTTTTCATGGCTGTTTTAACTCTTACGATTTTCTGGCCATTTGAAATACTTACGCTGCTAGTAGTGACACATTAAGAGCTAAGGCCGGACTATTCTGGAATTATGAGGGACCCTTCCAGATCAGGAAGGCCTGCTGTTCTTTTTCTTGGATTTTAAATAGTGTAGCCTGCATTGAACTCGGGGATGATCGATGCCTATGGTTGTTTTCTTTGGATTGTTTAATGCAATCAGGGGCTTCCTGAACAGCCAAGGCGTATGTAGCACACTGTAATCTTCAGAGGTTGAAAACACAACAATAGGAAGATCTGAAGTTTCACACAACCAAATTGGTTTTGCATCAGTTTGGTGTGAGAGCTAAAAGATCCATTTGCTTGGCATGGGAGGCATTAGCAACAATGAGGAAATTAAAAGTTTCAAGCAAAATGTGGGTAGTATAGACGAAACAGTGAGTTCACTGGATGCAAACTAAACTCCTTAAAAGGCTTCTCATATATGCTTTACTTCAACTAAAAGGAAGGGAAGTGGGCTTCAACTTTTGGTTACTGACTCAATTATTTTACCTCCTATAGACATGGATCATTCCAACCAGGAAGTTGATATAAAGCAAGGTTACGTTAGGAGATTAATCCTAGGGACTAGTAGCAAAAGTCCTAGAATCTTTTCAACCTTATGTTGAGGGTTATTCCTAAGGAGTTCTAGGTGAGACTCCTAATCATTCTTCTCTATATTCAAGAGTCTCTTTCTGCTCCTCTTTTTCTACTCTATGTTTTGCATGATCAAAGCCTCATCATGCAATTATTTCTACTCAATCTTTAGCACTCACACAAGCACTCCACCACCACAAATAGCTGCTGTCTCAAAATTTCAAGGGACTTGTTTTCTAAATTTCAGCAGCTATATTCTTTGTAAACCATACCAACATTCTTTCCTCAACCTCAGCCTACCACAAAACCAAACTGGTGCTGCATCCCTGCAACAGGGCAATCAAAATAGTGCTGTTCTTTAGTTGGCCAACACCAGTGAAGGTATATAGTTTCTGAAAAGAAATATTAGCATCAATATAAACCAAAATAGACTGCACACTGGAGAATTGATGCATCGACATGTGACGCTAATTGGTTAGTGTCGGGTTGCATTCTAAGACCTCTACAGACCACATAGTTGGCAGATGGGGACATAAATAGGTTCCAGGATTGGAGCAAACCTTAAAATTATGATAGCTAGAGGAGCGGTGGGCCTATGCGGCAAAAAAATTTGCAGGCCTTTAACCAGGAAGGCCAGCAAAGCAGTAATCATCCAAGTGTCCCCAGGGGCCTTTGGTGGGACAGGGTCTATTAGTGGCCCACAACATTTAAGAGGGCCGTGGCTTGCTGAGGCCCTTTCTCATCCACCCAAGACTTCTCTGACAGGCCAAACAAAGTTCAATAACAGAGCCTATTGCTCAAATCCTGACCAAGTGGCTAGCTTTCAGCTCCTTGACGCTGTGATAGTTTTACCAGCTTCCAGAAGCCTGTGATACTAACCATGATGCATTGTTAGCCTTAGTGTGTTGCTGTGCTGAATTTTCCTTTATATATGAGTATGAAGATGATGAAATGGGGTTGACGCTGCATAGGATCCAGCAATATATACGTATCAAACAAAAAAATAAATAATGTGTACCAAATTTAATTATAGGGTATTCTATATCCATACCTTGATCATTGGCATCATACATGTGTGATATTATGTATTAGTTTTCCTATGCAGCATTTCTGATCTGTCATATATTATTTCCATGAGTTTCATCCAGTAGTTTTATACAAAATTTTGTTGAAGGGATGTGATCTATGAGCTGTATTTTGAATTCAAGTATGTTGATCTACATTGGCTTCTAGAGGCTTGAATTTTAGCTTTTTCCTTGTGCTGCCTTCTACTCTTAGCAATCATCTAATGAATTTTCCTCCATAACTTTGAACAGGACTGCTGCGTGGTGGAATTTGTTGTAACTGACATGGGGAGGGGGGAAGGTATTTTCTTTACAGATATACCACCGTTGTTTTAGCAGTTGTTCAAAATTTTGGACTTTAGTTTCTTTTAATATTCAAACTGTGGATTTGATTTGATTTCTGTCCTAAAAATAACACCTAGTGGCTAGTTCAGTTCCCATTAATATGGGCCTGAGAGGGGTAGATTGGGTGCAAATCTAACATTTGACATTATGTCTGGCCTCAGGTTCATTACTCTATTTGAGCCTATAAATGCCCCCATGCAAGTGCTTTTCCTTTTTGTCTGATACATTTATGCAATATTTTTCATAAGCTGATAAGATGACATGAAAATATCCTAGACGGGGTGAAAGTGAGTGGGCTGTCTGTGATCATTATTAACAATCACCACTGTGTGTGAAAACTCTCCTCACTTTCGAGGACAGGCAATGGGGCATCTCTGGAGTAAACAAAGTCAACCATCAGTGTATTTCTGACTAAGGCTTTGTGTTTTCCAGAGACATGTCAGGTGTCCCAGATAAATATGAAACATTGCATAGAACAGCATTAAAGTTTTAAATTTACTTCAACTGTACTTCACAGGTGATATTGTTGGATACTTCTCTGCTCCTTTGAAGCAAATTGCTGACACCCAAGACAACTCATATTCATATAATCGTTTAAGTGGATTGAAATGGCTACCTTTGTCCTCATTGGAATCCAGGGTAAATCACTGATCATTTCCATCTTATGTTATGTTATTTTTGTCATTCAAAACTTGGACATATCCCAGTTGTCCTCTCTTGGTGGCATCTTATGACAACTTTCCTTGTCGTTCATGTTCATGCAGACAATTACCCAAGGAAATAAAGATAAAAACTCATATGGGAAAATAAGATGTGCAGTTATCTTATCACCCAGGTTTGAAGTTGAAAACGGTGATCAGTGTTTTGGTGGGAGCAGCAAATCTGGTTTTATACAGATTAGTCCCACAAGTGAAGGGCCTTGGACGACAGTCAGGCTGAACTACGCTGCACGTGCTGCTTGTTTGCCATTTGGCAAGGATGTTGTCGCCAGTGAAGTAACTGCAAAGGATGGAAACAGATATGTAACAATTAGATCTCTGGTTTCGATTCGTAACAACACTGATTTCATACTTGATTTGTGCCTCAAGCTCAGAGCTTCCAGTGAAAACATGATGTCACTAGATGCTGCAGGAAGGGAAATGCAATTGGATGGTAACCAATTTGAGACAGATGAGTTCTTTGAAACTCAAAAGTATAACCCAACAAGTGGCTGGGTTGGTGTTTCAGTTCACACTAATTTAGACTACCCCGATGATGATGGATCTCATCAAGTAAGTGGTTAATATGAGTTCTTCCGTGTGTCAGAATTGCCCTTTGCAATGCTCCATTTTTTATGTGGTTATCAATTTATTATTGTATTCGTCCAGAGGATGGGTCCCCATCTCTCTCTCTCTGTGTTACACGGGAACTCAAAACACAATTAAAGTAAGACAGGGACCAAAGCTCCTTTAGATGATATGCAGCATATAAAGGGTCGAGAGGAGGTTTTTTATTGTAGTCTGTTTTGAAAGAAATTTTTTTTTTTGGTAGTAGCACTAATACGAGGAGAGAAATTTGAATGGTCATTTGGACTTTGGACATGTAGACTTGCAAATGCACCGGAGGATTGCAATCTTCACTGACATGAATGCTAGGGTGGAGGAAGACCGAAACAAATCTAGACCGAGATAGTAAGCAAAGGAGGATACTAGAGCTTCTGGTTTTAATAGAGCCGCTGTTAAATAGTTGGGACAAGATTTTATTGATTTGACTTGAGTGTTGTTCGTATTCAAGCTATCCAAAGAAAATAACACCTTCCAATAGAACCAAGAGTCTGAGGAAGCTCATTTTTTAAATCTGAAAGTATAGTTTCTACTCCTTCAAAGTGCTCCTGATTCCTCCCTCTCCAACGAGATGCTCCGCCAAAGAAAAGCTATTGTCGCGAAACCACTTCTGGCAGTTTGCTTCCTCCAAGACCGCAACTAGTACACTGAAATAGGCCTAACCTTGGACATTCCCATCCAAACTTAGAGGAAAATTGGAATTTCTTAATTATTTACTCATGTTGGATTCATTTCTGTACTAAATTTGCAATATTTTGGTACATTATATATGAGCGCACAATTTTTACGATGCACAAAATTTTAGTTAAAACTTGCCTTTTTTCCTGCCTTTTTAACCTAAGAGGAATAGGATAACTTCTATTGGAAGACTTCAGGGACTACTACTCCAAGGTTTCCAGCTTAAGTCTCACAAGAGTGGTTGACTCGATCTGCTTGGTTTTGGGGTGATTGCACACATCCGGAGTTTGCGTTATGGTCACAAGTCCAAAGGGTGTGTGATTAGTATAGTTCTACGGACGCCAAAGAATAAAAATAATCAATCGCAACTTTTAGCCTACAATTTTTCCTACTTCAACACGGTAGAAACAAAATGGTTCCGGGCTAAGCTCTTGGAACCACCCGAGTATAAGCCAAAAGGAATGGAAATTTTCCTTTAGGTATATTTTTAATAAAGGATGCAATTTTCCATATTACTTTAGCTTATTTTTAAGTTTTCAAAAAGGTTATTATATGGAGTAACTTGTACAATTAAAGTCACTCTTTCTATGGCTAATGAGTCTTGCCCGTATGTGATTCTGATAATCTGCATGATAAGAAAATTTATCATTGAAATCTTTGAGTCTAGTACGAAGATACAAAATGTATAGATGTATAGATTTAGACTTGTTTTCTTTCTTTCTTTCTTTGTTTCTATTTTATTTCTTTAAATTGGGGCTGAAGAGAAGTGAAATGTTGTTAACAGACTAAAATAATCTGTTAACCTGGATGCATGTTTCAAGAAAGAGACTTTGGCCTCTGATTTTCCGTAAATAAAGAAACCATACTTACATAGTAACACATTGGAGGATTTTTCCTTTTTTTAATTTGTCTGTTGTCCTTATTCTTTTTTCTCCTGCTGGTTTGATGGTTGAATAAATGTTGTTATGAGGTTATTAGAGCTTTAGAATTTAATTATGTTTTAATTCAAGAGAATTTTGAAAACTCGTAGTTTAGTTCTCTTATTCTTTCTGGTAAATAAACTCTAGTCAATCCTGAATCCTGGTTTAGGGGCATTTTAAATGTAAATAATAAATAATCTTTATTCATTTCATACTAAAAACTGCCTTTGGTATTAAAGCCTAATAGGTTGGTCTTGGTATGTAAAAACCCTCTTGTCATGATGTTGACAATGTTCCCAAGACGTGACTAAGTTTGGCTCATGAGTTGTGTTATTAGTTGGTGGTCTTTGTAACATACTATTCCTAACAAGGGGACAAAAAATGTCGGTGTTTATTTTCAGAATCCTGTGGTTGATGTGAAGAACAATTTCATAATTTGTAAAGGAAAGATGATGTCCATCTTTTGGTTACACAGCCTAATTCTGTGTCGAATTTGCTGATGCTTTTATGCTTTAGGTCTTTTTAAACACCAGGAGTTGAATTAGAGTTGAACACTTGATATGTCTTAAATCTTGCACCATTTTCCTTGTTCTAGTATCATCTGCTCGAGTTCCTGGGTTATTTATACAGGGAGCTTTGGGAGTTGAGTTGCCATCAGGATGGGAATGGGTTGATGATTGGCATATAGATAAGACTTCTGTTAACACTGCTGATGGGTGGGTTTATGCGCCAGATTTTCAAAGTTTAAAGTGGCCTGAATCATACAATCCCTTAAAATTTGTAAACTATGCAAGGCAAAGAAGATGGATCAGGGATAGGAAACGGGTACCAGGGGATGTCAAGCCACAATTATTTTTTGGGCCATTGAAACCCGGAGAAACTGTATCTCTTCCTCTTACAGGTTTGACCGAATCTGGATTGTATATTCTTCAGTTGAGGCCTTCGAATCTGAATAATAATAACGAATATGCATGGAGTTCTGTAATGGATAGACCTGATCAGTCGGAGGATATTGGTAGACCTAAACAAAACTCTGAAATATGTGTCTCATCCCTCACTGAATCTGAGAAACTTTTTTATTGCTCTGAAGTTATTGGAAGCACATCAAATAGATCACATGGAATGTGGTTCTGTGTGGCCATACAAGCAATGGAGATTGCAAAGGACATTCATTCTAATTCCATTGAGGACTGGAAACTTGTGGTGAAAGCTCCTCTATGTATTACCAATTATCTTCCTTTTACAGCTGAATATTCTGTTCTTGAGATGCAAGCCAGTGGTCATTTTCTTGCTTGCTCCAGTGGAGTATTTAATCCAGGCGGGACTGTAAAGGTTCATAATGCTGACATAAGAAACCCTTTGTTCTTTTCGCTACTTCCACAAAGAGGATGGCTGCCAATCCATGTGAGTCTTCTTGTCCAGGCGCTGTTTTCTTCTGTTGGTACCCTTTTCCTTTTATTTTTTTTTTTCCTGGTTGACTAAACATGTCTGTGGCAATTCACTTCCCACTACATCTTTCATAGGAGGCTGTTCTCATATCCCATCCCAGCCGAGTTCCATCAAAAACAATTAGCTTAAGAAGTTCAATATCTGGAAGGTTTGTATATATGCTTCATAACCCTTGTGTGGCCTCTTGCGGATTCTATTTCTATTTTTGTAAGGACTTAAAATACAAAACAATTTGTATTTTCAGGATTGTTCAAATAATTCTTGAACACAATCATAACAAAGAAAGCCAACTGCAGGCGAAGATTGTGAGAATCTATTCTCCTTATTGGTTTGCAATTGCTAGATGTCCATCACTCACCTTAAGACTTATAGAGATGGCAGGGAGAGAGCCAACAAGGAAGATTTCTCTCCCTTTCCATTCCAAGAAGTATGATGACGTAATTCTTGAGGAAATCACTGAAGAGGAAATTTATGATGGTTATACGATTGCTTCTGTATTGAACTTGAAATTGCTGGGTCTCTCAGTCTCTGTTGCACAATCTGGCAAGGAACATTTTGGGCCAGTTAAAGATCTTTCTCCACTTGGCGACATGGTAATCCGATTAATTGTATGTTGGATGATTTTGTCTTTCTGTAAACAGTTTTTTGAGTGTTTTTTCTTTGCTTTGCTTTCCTTTTTTTCGTTAGGATGGATCACTTGACATTTGTGCCTACGATGATAATGGAAATTGCATACGGCTTTTTATAACTTCAAAGCCGTGCCCCTATCAATCTGTTCCGACAAAGGTTGTTGCAAGCTTTCACCAAAATCTTATTTAAGCATTATTTCATTTTGAACTCAAATTTTCCCTTTCTTCTCAGGTGATTTCCATCCGACCATTTATGACGTTTACCAATAGACTTGGACAAAACATTTTTGTGAAGTTAGGCAATGAAGATGAGCCAAAGGTTCTGCGCATGTCTGATGCACGAGTCTCCTTTGTATACCGTGAGACAGGTGGATCCAGTAAACTTCAGGTTAGTGGACCTCCTACTCTTTCCGATGCATAAGCATACCATGGAATGAGAGAATTCTGATTAATACGATTAGTTTCGAAGGAGAAAATTGTATTGATAGATTGATGACAATCAATCTAGGTTTTGCAGTTTCTGTTCTTTTTTCTGGAACACTGACAGATGATGTCAAAAATTACTTTATATAGAGAATATTATTGATGGTGAATCAGAGTGTGGAATGTATGAATTTTGTGGTCAATGAATCACAGTATTGCAAATTTTTTGTTTTAGAGTATAAAGATCACTCCAGTATAATTCAATCTTTTTTTTTAATGTAGACAAAATATTTGGATTGCCAAGATAGAACAAAGAAGAGTACTTCAGTGGTATTTACAATATTTTGCAGTTATTACTTTTTTCATATAAATCAAATTTAATGTGTAATTTTTAGCATTGCAGTAGATGTAAGCGTTATTTTGAGATGGGATTCAACAGGGAAATTTGCATTCGTCGGGATAGTAATCGAGAATATTATTTGCTGAAAAATCATACGAAAAGAATTATAGTACTGAATCTCCTAATTGGTGTTGTAAACATCTTGAAAAGGAAAGGTCATTTATTGAAATTTCTATTGCATTTTAATTATAAGTATCCCTGCATGTGTGTATGCACATTGGTCTTCACCTTTGAAGGTATAAATGGGACCCTTTGATCAAGCAGGTGCGATTGGAAGATACAGAATGGTCATTTCCTGTTCAAATCATGAAGGAGGACACCATATTTCTTGTTTTGAGAAAGCATGATGGTACATGGAGATTTTTGAAGACAGAAATCCGAGGCTATGAAGAGGGATCACGTTTTATTGTTGTATTTCGCCTCGGATCAACAAATGGTCCAATTAGGTACCTACTTGTACATGTGTATATGTTCCTAGATCACATACACCCGCACACATATGCATATGCATAGCAGAACCTTCTAGCTTGGAACTGCTGCTATTGGTTGCATTGCATTTTATTGTTTTGACTAGTCTGAGAAAGCTTTGGTCAACAGGATTGAAAACAGAGCAAGCAGCAAGAAAATAAGGATACGCCAATCTGGATTTGGTAATGACGCCTGGATTCAGTTAGAACCTCTTTCAACGGCATGTTTTTCTTGGGAGGATCCATATGGCCAAAAATTTATGGACGCGGAAGTCTGTAGTGGCAGTACTACTGCAGTCTGGAGACTTGACTTGAATAAGTCGGGAATATGTCCTTTACGTGATGGAGGACTAGCTTTACTTTTTCATGTTGTAGAGATAGGTGATGTCAAGGTTGCTAGGTTTGTAGATGAGAGGACATTAGGATTGAGTTCAAATGACGGAAGCAGGTCTTTAACACATGAGGGAAATTGGGTAAATCCTCGCATGCAGAGCAAGATGCCGGAGACTGCAGCTCCTCTGGAGGTTATAGTAGAATTTGGAGTTTTGGGGGTTTCTGTTGTGGACCATAGACCAAAGGAGCTCTCGTACTTGTACCTGGAAAGGGTCTTCATATCCTATTTGACTGGTTATGATGGTGGGACAACAAGCAGGTTAGAGCTTCTTCTTGGGTATTGTTTGCTTTCATTATTCCACCTAAATGTTGGCTTTCTTACCTTGAAAGACTTTGATATGACAATTTTGGACCGTGTTCCATCTGGGCTGGCTTGTTGGAATGTATTTGTGCAGAGAGTAGCAATACTATCTGTCATGACACATTTTTTATGTTTGTTGATGTTCCAAATGTTATTGCGCCTGAAGCTGCTGGCTTTAGAGACCTAGGATCAAATCTCCCCTTCATCCTGGTTGGGAAGGGGTCGGGGGATTTATTGGTAGTTGCATTCAGACCTTTCCGTGACCCCTGGATGTNGGTTAATTGTAGCCGGTATAGGAGGGTTAAGTGCCACTGTAGCAACTGGGTCAAGGCTTGACCCGAGATTTTAATCCTACCTCAAAAATGGCTTTTCAACAAGGGATTTTTGGGACCCATTGCCTTATTAGCCTATCCATATGGGTGTTAACCTACTAACCAAACACACCCTAAGTATATAAACCAACCTTGGTGGTTCTAACTATTCGATTTGGGATACAAGCTCTCTCAACAGATGTGACACCTTCACTCAAATATGACGCAAGTCTCGATTGATTCGTATCATGCTCTCTTGATTTTGATTGATTGCGAAGTGTACCTTTTCCTCATCTCTATTTTGACATCCAAGACCCATATGTCGGTTACCATTTGTGGGCTTCTCGTTTTTTCAGAAGGTGTTCGGGAGAGGCGAAGACATAGACTCGATTCGAGAAAATGAAGGCGACTTCCTCTTTCTAGTTTTAAATGTGTTTTGTTTTTTTTGTTTATTCTGAAAGGTGAAGACTCCTCTTTCTCATAAACAACAAGAGACATAGGACACACGCACATCCGGACCACACTAAATAATATATGTAATTTTTACATAAATATATTTTTTGTAAAGATAGAATTGATATTTCTATATTAAATAAACAAAATTAAAGAATTTCATAATTTTTACATATATCGAATAAATAAATAGAAATGCCTTGCTTTATGGGAATATCAGATTTTTTTTTTTTATTTTGGACTTTTTTCCCTCGTCCCGTGGTGATGGGCAGATTTTAAAGTGATTATGAATTTTGGTGATGCACCTTTAATTGACCGAGGTGGTACTTGTATTTTTTGGTTGGGGACCCAATTGCTAATTTTTTTTTTTAGGTTGGGGTCTCATGTGCTAGTTGGGATTATTTTTGTGACCATATATTTTTTAAATTCCAATGTGCCACTTGTCAAATGTATGAATATTAGAAATCTGGTCAAGCAACACACAAGAGCCACGTGACGGATAAGAGGATACATAGAAGACCTTGTGCTCTACAGTTGACTCTTCACATTCTCCTTTTTTTTCTCTCTCTCTCTAACCTCCCATCTCTGCAATTTCTATTCTGTCTCTCTTTCTCATCTCTCTCAAAACCTCTTGTTTTCCTAACTCATTTTTCCGCCATATTGTCTGCAACAAACATGGTAGATTCATTTCCTCTAAAGATGAATCTCCTGGGAAGTTGGCCAATGCCTATGAGCATGGGCCATATGTTACTCCGTGTTCTTCGTAGATGTGGGTCTATGTTTCCGTCTTCATCTGGTATGCTAATATCCCAAGAGGTAACTCTTTTCAATAGATTTTACATTTGTGTCTGGAAGTCTTGGGCGTGTTCTAGACGAGTCTGCAATTCCAAAGAACTAAAAAAAATCGAATGCTCTTTTTGATGTGTCCATGTGCGAGACGAGTAAGACATATACATCGGCCCAAATCATGTGTCTATGCTTCATAGACTATAAAAAGGACACATTGGATGATTTAGCAACGAAAAAATAAGAAAGAAAAAAAAGGTGCATATCACGTATTTGTATATATGGGAATAGGATCAGATGAAAGTTGTCCCGTTCCCAATTTAGTAGGGTTTTTCAATATAGTGTGATCATAAATTAACTCTTCATTTTTACAAATATTGTGTACCCATTGGCTTGAAGAAAGTTGGTTTACCATTATTAGTTGGGATTTGTCTTTCTTTTCCAATTAAATATATATAACCATTATTTTTTTTATTCACAATTATTGATTAGTGTTATTTGGGTCTCAATTCGCTTTATAATTCTTATATTAAAGCACCAAATAAATATTAATTATTTTGTGTGTATACACAAATAGTATAAATAATATTAGAAATATAAAAAATTTAAAGTATGTAATAATTCCCTGTGTCTATACATGAATAATTTTATATGGTTTATTATAATAATAAAAACGATCTCTATAACAATTCAAATTGAATTGAGACTCAAAATAGAGTACCATCTAAGCTCACCCTATCACAACGTGTGCCAGAGAAAATATTGCACTGCGACTCCATACGAGTACGACAATACCATATACGAAATCGACCCAAGACACCTGTAACGTTGAACCCACTACATGCGTGACCTATTGCACTGTGACTCTATACCTATGCACTAGTTCGTGTGCCTACTTCTTACTTTTTCATGTAACTAGATTACCCCCTAAAAAGGTACATTATCCTGTAATAGATCTTCTATCTAATAAAGAACTTTTCTAATATGCATTTGTTAACACTTCCAACCAATGGTGCCTGTGCGACTGATACAACAATCCAAGTTTGGGAGCTAGCTTAAGATATTGCATAACATCTCAATCTAGTACTCAGGGGCGCGGTGTGCTTTCACAACGTGATTTATTGTAGTCAACAAGCAATAGTAAGGTAGTTCAACTTTTCTACTGGGCACCAACATCGTCAAAGGTCAAAGAAACATTCACCTTGGGGTAGACTTAGTTGGTACAATGTTTTGGGTCGTTGTTCGTTTTCTATTAGATTGTTTTTTATATTGCATAAGATTATATTTAATTGTACATTTGTATATACATAGTTAACTACTATTTATTTTGGGATTTGAGTTGCAATTTGGAGTGTTGGGACTTTATGCTTTGAGTCGTGTGACCCCGATTTGTGGGATGGTAGGATATCCATGATCTCAGTATCTATGGTTTCAACCCATATAAGGCTTTCCTCTGGGGAACAAATTAGGTTGTTGCTCTATATAAACCTCTTCAATATCTAACTATTACGAGGGCTAGTTCAGATTTATATAAAAAGAGATCAAAATCCCAATAGAAGAGATTTTGACCACCGGGGAGAAGGTCTCCGCCGAGTGAATGCCACAAGTTTGCGTGAATGTGACTTTGGTGTAGGCTTGTAGCATGAAGGTAAGTGGAATTGTTGCAAGTAATGGAAGGTCCACTTAAAATGTAGTAGCTAGTTTTTACTATCTCAAAAAGCAACACGGGCGACTCATGAACATTTATCTAAACGAGGGAGCATGGGAGGATGATAGGAATCATCAGCACTGTGCATGCTCACTATGCTGTGTCTATATAGCATTGGTGATCGTTAACTATTACGCCTTGTAAGTTAAAATAATATATTTTGTATTCTATTTTAAATTCTTACATAGATAAACTGAATAACATCATGTATAGGAAAATGTACTCTTGTTTACTATGTCCTCTTAAATAAATAAAATTCTTACACGTCATGAACACACGTTCATGACGTGTCATGCGTGTGGCCCCAACTCCCAAGTCCATCTCTATGTTCCTTACCTCTCTATTCACCCGCAACATAGGTGCGGGATAGGGTGAATGTCGGGCTCATCATGCCAAAGCTTCATGAGTTCACTCCCATTTTTCCAGTTACCGTTCAATCTGCCCTTAAATGCATTTTTGTCTTGCATAAGCCTAATTGTTAGGTCATATGTTGTATATTGACTTCACGTTATCTATATGTTGTATTATCATGTGCATGTTGTGGGTGTTGGTTAAAGGAAACTCACTAGTTTGTTTTGGATTTTTTGTCAGTTTTTTTTGGATAGGAAACAAAACAATTTTATTAATTTAAAATGACAAAAATTGATACATCAAAAGGCACTATGGATGGACAAGATGTCCAACCGTGAAATGGAAAAATACAATTGTCAATTCGTAAAATTATGTATCACATGAGGCTGTCCAATCTGTCAAAATACAAAAAAACAGAATGCCATCGAACTCCTTCGTAACACGCCCACATTGATGCGAAAAAATATATGAGATCCCATAAATCTTCCTTCCACTCTCCTCTATTTTTAAAAATCCTAGAGTTCGTTTCCAACCATATCCTAGAGTCCCTACTTAGCTTTGTTTTGTGTGTTAATTAAGTTTTAAGTGGCTTGATACTACTTTTCAGGTTATTGGGCCAGAGCTTACCTTTTATAATGCATCAAATGACGTAGGGGAGTCACTGCTACTCTCTAACAAAGTATTGCATGCGCAGTTGGATGCATTCTGCAGGTAATTTTTTCTTTACATGCAAATCTAAGGGTTGAAGTTTTGCTTTCTCATGTTTATTTCCTATATATTTTGTTCTCATCACACTGGGAGGATGCCTTAACATACTTCACCTAAGCTAACATATGCTTGAGATTTTCCCTATTTTTTATTTGTTTATTAATGAGCATGTGTGTGGATCATATCCTTGCATTTTAGATGCTTTCAAGATACAATGTTCTTTATTTTGGTGGTTATTTTCCCACGTAAATGTTATTTCTTCTATGGTAAATGATACTTGATCAGTTTGGATTAAATCTACTCTCACGTGGTATCTTAAGAGTTGGAAACTCATCAAGAGTACTGTATAACACGAATATTATCAATTCGTGCTGAAACTCTGCACTTAGATTGGAATCTTATTTAAGACTAGAGTACATAGTTTTACAATGACAGGTATTATCCAAGATATAATTTCCCAGGGTCTCTGTGTTCAAAGTGTGAGGAGTCTGTTTCATAGCTTTAGCTTGGAGGATTACAATTGAACTAATCAAAGGAAGATGTTGGATGTTGTGCTGCTTCCAGGATTGTTCTGAAGGGTGACACTACTGAAATCTGTGCAAATGCTCTTGGGTTGACAATGGAGAGTAATGGGATCAGAATATTGGAGCCTTTCGATACCTTTGTGAAGTTGTCAAACGCATCTGGAAAAATGAATGTACAAGTCGCTGTTTCTGATATATTCATGAATTTTTCGTTCAGCATCTTAAGACTCTTTTTAGCAGTCGAGGAGGACATTTTGGCATTCCTGAGGATGACATCAAAGAAAATGACAATGATGTGCTCTGAGTTTGACAAAGTTGGGACAATTAAAAGTAGGTTAAGACACACTAATATTATTTTCCTTTCTGTAATTGTGGAAACTGTATTAAGTTGGAAAGATTGATGAAATGACTCATTTCCTGGTGGTTGTGTTTTGCAGATCCCTACAGCGACCAAATATATGCATTTTGGAGACCTCGTGCACCATCTGGTTTTGCTGTTCTTGGTGACTATTTGACACCACTGTCAGTAAATTTGTCAATGATCTCCTTTTTTAGGTTATATCTATTAAATTGCCTGTAATTGTCAGTAACATGAGTTTTCATGAGACAGCGACAAGCCACCAACAAGAGCAGTCCTTGCTGTGAATACAAGCTTTGTAAGAATCAAAAGGCCTGAGTCTTTCAAGCTGGTTTGGCCCACTTCTGCTGAAGGGGACATAGCTGATTCCCAAGGTGTTGATAACCTTGAGATTGTTGCAAGAAGCGTCCTTCGTGAAGGAGATAAAATTTGTTCCATTTGGTTCCCTGTAGCACCCAAAGGTTATGTTGCGTTGGGCTGTGTGGTTTCTTCTGGAAGGACACAACCTCCCATATCTTCTGCCTTCTGCATCTTGGCGTCTTTTGTTTCTCCATGTGCCCTGAGGGATTGTATAATAGTCAACTCTAGCAATCAGTATGTAGAATTTTCAGATCTATTCTGTGTTTTTTATGTGTGTGTCCAAAGTATATGCTGTCCATGAATCTGGCAGATACAGAATTAACACAATCATAAGGAGGGTAATCTTATGTTCATGTTGCATGTCGAGCATGCAACAACTTGAATCATAAAAAGGAGTGAGCCTCACACACGAAAGATTCCCCTAACAAATTATTTTTGACAGAGGGAACTATTAGGGGATTTATTTTGTAAGGTAAAATTGTCGAACACTTGGTGTATTGTATTGCACAATCAAGCTTGTATGCCATATTCTTCTGCTTTGGTGGTGTATTTATCCTATTATCAACCTGAATAATTATATCTCCAAGTTTAATTTATTTTTTGATTTCCAGACTTCCTTTGGCATTCTGGCGTGTGGGTAATTCGGTTGGTACTTTCCTGCCAGCAGATCCAACTACTCTAAGCTTGATTGGAAGAGCATACGAATTAAGACATATTGTTTTCAAGCATTCAAATATTTCTTCAAAAGCATCCAACAGTTCAGACATCCAAGCTTCTCCATCTGGTCATGATCAGACTGTCCAATCAGAAATGTCATCAACTGCAAATTCTGGGAGGAGATTTGAGGCTGTTGCTAGTTTTCGGTTGATATGGTGGAATCAAGGTTCAGGCTCAAGAAAGAAATTATCCATATGGCGCCCTATTGTACCTCAAGGAATGGTGTTTTTTGGTGCTATTGCTGTTCAAGGGTATGCAATGCTCAATTTTTTTAATTTTTTTTTGGTGTTGCGTTGTATTGAGGCCCCAGAAGTAACAATGTAACTCCTATTTGATACTTGGTTTACAGTTATGAACCTCCAAACACATGCATTGTTCTTCATGATTCTGAAGATCTATTTAAAGTCCCTCTAGATTTTCAACTTGTTGGACAAATAAAGAAACATAGAGGAATGGAGAGTATTTCTTTTTGGCTGCCTCAAGCTCCACCAGGCTTCGTTTCCTTAGGTTGTGTTGCATGTAAGGGGGCACCAAAGCAATCTGATTTCAGCTCATTAAGATGCATGCGCAGCGATATGGTCACCGGGGATCAATTTTTGGAGGAAAGCATATGGGATACATCTGATGCAATGCTTACAAAAGAACCATTTAGTATATGGGCAGTCGCCAATGAGTTGGGAACCTTTATTGTTCGCAGTGGTTTCAAGAAACCTCCTAGAAGATTTGCTCTTAAGCTTGCAGATCCAACTATACCAAGAGGTTCATACGATACTGTTGTTGATGCAGAAATACGAACATTCTCGACAGCACTTTTTGATGACTTTGGCGGCTTGGTAGGCACCCTTCTTCCATTTTCAGGTTTATGTTATGTGCCTTTTTGCATCACGCAACTCTTTAGTGGTTTTAGTGGGGCAGTTTGTTTTGTTTCACATTTTTCGGCGGATATTTTGATGAATTGGTGAAGGAAGCTTACAGTAAACAATATTTTTCATTTATAAAGATCAGCAGAACAAGTATATGCATCATAACGAGACGATTTTCATTGTCAAATACCATACAAGATCATCAACAACATTGTTTTATGAGAGATTCATGGACATGTGTGTTTGATGTAACGAAAGATGCTGTATATGTAGTTGATATGCCAATGTAGTTATTAACTGCTTTATGTTCATTTTGGCTTCAAAGTCTTTGTTGCACCGTCTCTCTTTTTGTGTTTTCAGAAATCTGTTTCCTCACTCACTTGTGTTGATGCTTTCGTTGGTCTACGTAAATTCGTAAATCATCTTTGTTGATTTTTTCTCATTTGTTCCTGGATCTGTCTTCCTAAACACATTCATTTTTTTATATGATATGCTTCCTCTTGGTTGCTTCTTATACATCTCGAAGTCATCCTTCCAAACACACTATTGCATTCCATGTTGGTTTCTTGAATGCCCACCATTATGTAGCACATAGTATAGCTCCTTCTGGGTTTCTGGTAACATTTTCCTCATCAATTTGATGTTGAGAATATAATTGTAAGCATTTTTTTTCATATTCTTGTGTTGGATTTTTGGGATTGCTTATCACTTGCTAGTTTATAACGGATTTTCAGGGTTGTCTTATGTAAGGCCTGTGCCTTTAGTCTTATCTTCTCTGAAGATTGGTTATTAGCTTACTAATTTATTCTTGGTTATAGCATGATATATGATAAACTTGATATGCTCGCTGTTTATATGTCAATATGTGCCGTGGTCCTTTGAATGTGTTGATTGCCTGCTTATGAATTCTTTTAATTTTAATTTTGTTTTGAGAAAACTGACATTGTTTGGAAAATCTGGCTGTCCATGGGTATGATGTTCTGTCAAATTCAACCATAGTTGTACTGTGATTGTGGTTGCTTTTCTAACTCTTTCGTGTAATTTGCAGATGGTTCCGTTATGTAATATCTCTTTAAGTAGCATAGGGTTCAGTTTTCATGGAAGACCAGACTACTTGAATTCCAGTGTCAGCTTCTCATTGGCTGTGAGATCATACAGTGATAAGTACGAATCCTGGGAGCCTGTTGTTGAACCAGTAGACGGATTATTGAGGTTATCTTTTCTACTATAAACCTATTTCTTGTTGATTGAAGGGCACTGCAAAATTTCATTGCTGTTCGGAAATAAGTTTGGATAGTTTATTTTTTCAAATAATGATGACAGTATGGTGATTTTACCCACATCATCTGGCCTCATGTTGATTTTCGTTCGTACTTCCGGGAGGTTTCATCCCTAAGAGATTAAGTAGAAGCAGTATGTCTGTTGCTGTCCTCGAATAACTTTGCCCCTTTCTTTACCAAATTTCTGTTGCTGGCCTCATATCAACCTTACCCCTTTATTTCCAGAAATGCTCTCTCTCTCTCTCTCTCTCTCTCTCTCTCTCTCTCTCTCACACACACACACACACACACGTGTTTGTATGTACTTCCAAATTGCTTGTCTTGTACAGGTACCAGTATGATTTGCATGCCCCAGGTGCTGCTTCTCAGTTACGTCTTGCCTCTACAAGGGACCTGAACTTGAACATTTCAGTGTCTAATGCTAATATGATTTTCCAAGCTTATGCAAGCTGGAACAACCTTAGTGATGTCCATGAATCATGTCGAGATAAGGTACGTTATTTTACTCACATTCAAACCTCTTTTTTCTAGTTTTTTTTACCTTTTTCAACATCCGATTCTCTGGCAGTCTGGCTACATATAAGTGGAACTACTATTAATGCTTTGTTTTGGTTTTTGGTTGGTTAAATAGGAAGCAGTTTCTACAACTACAGGAGGAAGACCTATCATTGATGTTCATCACATAAGAAGTTATGTTATCCCGCAGAATAAACTTGGTCAGGACATTTTTATCAGAGCTGCTGAAACCAGGGGACTGCAAAATGTAATTCAGATGCCATCTGGAGATATGAAGCCTCTAAAAGTTCCAGTTTTGAAGAATATGCTAGAGTCCCACTTGAAGGGAAATCTTTACAAGAAACTCAGACCAATGGTAACAATCATCATTGCAGATGCAGAGGTGTGTTTATTGATTTCTTCTGTGTGTGTGTGTATCGTTTAAGATGGCATAGAGTAACTATTAAGATTTGCCTTCTTGACTTGTGAATGCAAATTTACTGGTTGCTGGCAAATTTTTATAATGCTTTGTCCTTTCTTCTCTATGTTGTTTAGAGAATAATCCCAATATACCGCTAAGATTTTTTTTCACAGGCCTTTAAAACCTTCTGTCTGCATCATAAAGAAATATTGATTAGGACTGCAGCTCAATTCCTGCAACTACTTCCTTTAGATAAGTTGTAATTAGCAGGTAAAGTGTCTGCATTGGTATGATACTGCATGGGTTGATTACTCTCGCCCCTACTCTCTAAAGCGTCTTTAAAGGGAAGCCCTGAGCTACCGCTCTCGGGATATCACTAGTGAAGCCTTACCTTCGGTTAAAGATTAGAAAGCCCTTCGCCCTACTAATAAAAGGCTCTATCTCGGATTCGTTGAACTTTCACTTGAGCTTGAGTGGATACTTGTCTATTGCGCATACCGGGTACGAAGTAGTACATATCACCCACATGAATGCGACATCAATCTAAGTAGATCAAAATTAGGAAGCTCTATTTGTCAAAATGCTGGAAATGTAATTCCCTTTTCCTATCCCCCACCCCCTCAAAAAAAAAAATGAAAAAATGAAAAGAAGAAATAAAAAACCCAAAACTGCCCCCAAATTCCACCAGACATGTGAAAAAAGGTCAAAAGAACCGGTTATTGGAAACTAATAGGCGGCTTATGTTACACCCAGGGGCGGAACCACCCGATCCTCAATTTTTTTTGTTATTTTAGATATGAATTTTTAAAATAAAATTTAGATATATTTAATTGTTCCCATCTTATTATTGTGTTATTGTGATATTGATTAGTATAGACCTCTACCTAAATGATTATTAATTTTTGAGCATTGTTATTGATACCTAATTTTAGGACCTAATGCATTGTGATATTAAGGCTAATAGTGAGTCCTTATATGTAATAACATCCACTATCTATCCAATGATCATAAGTCATTGGGTCCCGACCAAATAAAATTCCAAATTAGGTACAACTAGTATTATTCTTAAACTTTTAGATACGTTGACATGTCCGAATAAGTTTTAGACATATTGGAGTCATTTTTCTAAATTATTGGATTATTTTGTTATCATTTAGAAATGAGTGTCATCATGTAATAAATTACAGAATAATAAATGGAAGATTGTTATCACCATTTGGTATATAGAAAAAAGTTTTTAGTAATATATTGATATGTAACGCTTTTAAATGATAAAAACTCATCAAATACAATTGTTAATGACAATAATTAGTTTCATACAAAGTTTTAATTAATTTCTTTTTATTTTTTGTTTGTTCATGTCATGTAAATCGGTTTTTAACTTTTTATGTTTAGTGAATTTTTACGCATTAAATATAATTATAGTAAATATGAGTTTATGAACTTTGTGGTCAAAACAAGTCTTGTCAATATGGGGTGGCCTATTCTGTAGTACTGGATATGGCCTTACACTAGGCATTGTGTTGTAATGTTTCCCTCAACCACTACCAAGTGTTTAGTGTAACTTCCTGTTGACTATGGCTGTAAAATTTTAGGAAGATAAGAATCGTATCAACTTTGCTGGAAAGTTGTAGAATTTGAAGCTGAAAAGTTAGAGCATTTGAAGTTTGGAGCAAAATTTGTTATTTTCTTTTGAAATTGTTTAAATACTAATAGCATTCCATTGTTTTTGATCTTATATTGATATTAGTTATTATCTGTGCCTGAAGGTACAAAGTAATAAAAAAAAATAGTTAACAATAAACATATTTATATTCATACTTAAAATCAAATCACAAACATAAAAAAGAGAGAAAAGAATTTAAATACCGATTGTAGTAGGGGTGATCGGTGGTATTAGTGGTGGTGGGAGACAAAGATGGTTGTGGCGGGTGGTAACGATCGTGGAGATGGTTGTAGTGGATGATAACGATCGTGGTGATGGTGGCAGCCGTGGGTGACAACGGTGATGGTGGTTGGTAATGGTGATGGTGGGGCGACGACAGTGGTGGTGGCGGCGGTGGCGGGTTGTGGTGGTGGACAGTGATGATAGTGGTGGTGGGTGATGACGGGTGTTTTTGAGCGATAATGTGATGGGTGGTAGCGAATGACAATATTGATAATGGTGGTAGGTGTGCTGGGGGTGGGTGACAGTGGATGGCGACAGTGGTGGGTAATGACGGGTGATGGTGATAAGGGTGGATAACAGTGGTTGGCGGCGATGGTGGGAGATGACGAGTGGTTGTGGGTTGTGGTAGTTGGTAGCAGTGGGTGGTGGTGGGCATTAATGGTGGTGATGGGTGCTGGCGGTGGTAGTGGGATGATGGTGGTAATAGCAATAAGTATAAGAATGAGATGACGATGATGGTGGGTGGGTGGTGGCGGTGGACGATGATGTTTTCAATCGATGGTGGGTGGCGTTGGTGGTGGCGATGGCGGTCGCCGATGGGGTACTGGGGGTAATGGTGGGGGTGGGGTGACAGCGACGACGGGGGTGATGACAGCGGCGGTGGGGTAGCGACGACGATGATGGTAGTGGTGATGGTTGTGGGGTTGATAGTGGGGCGGTGGTGGTGGTAGGGGTAATGGTAGGATAGTGGCGTTGGTGGTAGAGTGGCGACAGTGGTGGGGGTGGCGGTGGTGGTGGTGGAGTGGTGGCGACGACAATTGTTATGGCAAAGGTAGCGGTGGGACGGCGGCGGCGGCAGTGGTGGTATTGGTGGTGGTAGTGGTGATGGGGATGGGACAGTGGGGGTGATGGTGATGGTGGTGGGGGTAGTCATGGTGGTGGGGTGGCGGCGGCGGCGGTAGTGGTGATAGTGGGACGGTTTCAAACATTATTTTTTTTTTTTAAAATACTTATGAGAAGTTCTAAGTTCTAAAAGTATTTTTAAAAAGTCACCCACACACACCCTTAGGAGTTTATTTCCTTATTAAATTTGAGGTGTTAATATTAGTCGTTAGATTTACTTTAAAGTAAAATTTAAAGAGATCTCAACTGCGAAAAGTAAAAGTTATTTTGTTTATCTTTTGAGATTTGAATTGTATTGTACTTTATTATATAGATATCTCTGTTTACAATTTTATTTTACACATCTTGTTTGTGGAAGGGTCTTGCATGTTTTAAAGCTACTTCTATGATCTTGATATTCAGTTTCCAAGGGTGGAAGGGTTGTCATCTCATCAGTATGCTGTTACAGTCCGTCTTACTCTAGACCAGAATCTCCCAAGTGGATCGCTTTTGAATCAGCAAAGTGCACGCACGTGTGGTACCGACTCGCCTAATTGCGCATCTTCTGATCTCAAATTTGTGATCTGGAATGAAATGTTCTTCTTTAAAGTTGATTCTCTGGTGTGTACGAAATTGAGCCCTTTTTTTACATTTCAGTAAACATTTTTTTTTGTTATGGTCAATATTATAATGTCATAATGATTGATTTTTTTCTAATTTGGTACTGCATTCCCTTTGCTTAATAAATTATGCTGATTTCTATAAGTTATAGCATCAATTTCTGCTTGAGTGGTGAGTTGCACATCCACGATATCTGTTATATGGTTTGGCAATATTAGTAGTCCATTATCTCGCCTTGCAGAAACTTAACATGGCTATCATAGTTTCTTTAGTGGTTTTCTTCTGCACTGTTTTTAAAGATAAATAATCCTTTTTTTTTTTTGTGTGTGTGTGCTTGTGTTAAGCGTGGACAAAAATTAATATTTATGCAAGTCTTGCCATCGTGTTCAACAGATTCATTGCTAGTTACTAGTGAGGTTCATTTATGTCTTAAAAGGGAAAGATTTATTTTTAAGGTTAGTTTAGAGTATATGTGACTTGTATGTATGTTAACATTTGTCATTTCCGATGGAGAACCACATGTTGGATTAAGATGAAGTGATCAACAATTTACTCTTAAAGACATAAGTAGCTTGGAATCTGTCTGCTGTTTCATTAAACCAGGCCGTGTTTTGGGTTTGTAGTATACTTTGGTAATATGACTTTTTGCCTTGTAAATGGCATGTTCTTCACTTAATTCACTTTTCATGGCTGTTTTAACTCTTACGATTTTCTGGCCATTTGAAATACTTACGCTGCTAGTAGTGACACATTAAGAGCTAAGGCCGGACTATTCTGGAATTATGAGGGACCCTTCCAGATCAGGAAGGCCTGCTGTTCTTTTTCTTGGATTTTAAATAGTGTAGCCTGCATTGAACTCGGGGATGATCGATGCCTATGGTTGTTTTCTTTGGATTGTTTAATGCAATCAGGGGCTTCCTGAACAGCCAAGGCGTATGTAGCACACTGTAATCTTCAGAGGTTGAAAACACAACAATAGGAAGATCTGAAGTTTCACACAACCAAATTGGTTTTGCATCAGTTTGGTGTGAGAGCTAAAAGATCCATTTGCTTGGCATGGGAGGCATTAGCAACAATGAGGAAATTAAAAGTTTCAAGCAAAATGTGGGTAGTATAGACGAAACAGTGAGTTCACTGGATGCAAACTAAACTCCTTAAAAGGCTTCTCATATATGCTTTACTTCAACTAAAAGGAAGGGAAGTGGGCTTCAACTTTTGGTTACTGACTCAATTATTTTACCTCCTATAGACATGGATCATTCCAACCAGGAAGTTGATATAAAGCAAGGTTACGTTAGGAGATTAATCCTAGGGACTAGTAGCAAAAGTCCTAGAATCTTTTCAACCTTATGTTGAGGGTTATTCCTAAGGAGTTCTAGGTGAGACTCCTAATCATTCTTCTCTATATTCAAGAGTCTCTTTCTGCTCCTCTTTTTCTACTCTATGTTTTGCATGATCAAAGCCTCATCATGCAATTATTTCTACTCAATCTTTAGCACTCACACAAGCACTCCACCACCACAAATAGCTGCTGTCTCAAAATTTCAAGGGACTTGTTTTCTAAATTTCAGCAGCTATATTCTTTGTAAACCATACCAACATTCTTTCCTCAACCTCAGCCTACCACAAAACCAAACTGGTGCTGCATCCCTGCAACAGGGCAATCAAAATAGTGCTGTTCTTTAGTTGGCCAACACCAGTGAAGGTATATAGTTTCTGAAAAGAAATATTAGCATCAATATAAACCAAAATAGACTGCACACTGGAGAATTGATGCATCGACATGTGACGCTAATTGGTTAGTGTCGGGTTGCATTCTAAGACCTCTACAGACCACATAGTTGGCAGATGGGGACATAAATAGGTTCCAGGATTGGAGCAAACCTTAAAATTATGATAGCTAGAGGAGCGGTGGGCCTATGCGGCAAAAAAATTTGCAGGCCTTTAACCAGGAAGGCCAGCAAAGCAGTAATCATCCAAGTGTCCCCAGGGGCCTTTGGTGGGACAGGGTCTATTAGTGGCCCACAACATTTAAGAGGGCCGTGGCTTGCTGAGGCCCTTTCTCATCCACCCAAGACTTCTCTGACAGGCCAAACAAAGTTCAATAACAGAGCCTATTGCTCAAATCCTGACCAAGTGGCTAGCTTTCAGCTCCTTGACGCTGTGATAGTTTTACCAGCTTCCAGAAGCCTGTGATACTAACCATGATGCATTGTTAGCCTTAGTGTGTTGCTGTGCTGAATTTTCCTTTATATATGAGTATGAAGATGATGAAATGGGGTTGACGCTGCATAGGATCCAGCAATATATACGTATCAAACAAAAAAATAAATAATGTGTACCAAATTTAATTATAGGGTATTCTATATCCATACCTTGATCATTGGCATCATACATGTGTGATATTATGTATTAGTTTTCCTATGCAGCATTTCTGATCTGTCATATATTATTTCCATGAGTTTCATCCAGTAGTTTTATACAAAATTTTGTTGAAGGGATGTGATCTATGAGCTGTATTTTGAATTCAAGTATGTTGATCTACATTGGCTTCTAGAGGCTTGAATTTTAGCTTTTTCCTTGTGCTGCCTTCTACTCTTAGCAATCATCTAATGAATTTTCCTCCATAACTTTGAACAGGACTGCTGCGTGGTGGAATTTGTTGTAACTGACATGGGGAGGGGGGAAGGTATTTTCTTTACAGATATACCACCGTTGTTTTAGCAGTTGTTCAAAATTTTGGACTTTAGTTTCTTTTAATATTCAAACTGTGGATTTGATTTGATTTCTGTCCTAAAAATAACACCTAGTGGCTAGTTCAGTTCCCATTAATATGGGCCTGAGAGGGGTAGATTGGGTGCAAATCTAACATTTGACATTATGTCTGGCCTCAGGTTCATTACTCTATTTGAGCCTATAAATGCCCCCATGCAAGTGCTTTTCCTTTTTGTCTGATACATTTATGCAATATTTTTCATAAGCTGATAAGATGACATGAAAATATCCTAGACGGGGTGAAAGTGAGTGGGCTGTCTGTGATCATTATTAACAATCACCACTGTGTGTGAAAACTCTCCTCACTTTCGAGGACAGGCAATGGGGCATCTCTGGAGTAAACAAAGTCAACCATCAGTGTATTTCTGACTAAGGCTTTGTGTTTTCCAGAGACATGTCAGGTGTCCCAGATAAATATGAAACATTGCATAGAACAGCATTAAAGTTTTAAATTTACTTCAACTGTACTTCACAGGTGATATTGTTGGATACTTCTCTGCTCCTTTGAAGCAAATTGCTGACACCCAAGACAACTCATATTCATATAATCGTTTAAGTGGATTGAAATGGCTACCTTTGTCCTCATTGGAATCCAGGGTAAATCACTGATCATTTCCATCTTATGTTATGTTATTTTTGTCATTCAAAACTTGGACATATCCCAGTTGTCCTCTCTTGGTGGCATCTTATGACAACTTTCCTTGTCGTTCATGTTCATGCAGACAATTACCCAAGGAAATAAAGATAAAAACTCATATGGGAAAATAAGATGTGCAGTTATCTTATCACCCAGGTTTGAAGTTGAAAACGGTGATCAGTGTTTTGGTGGGAGCAGCAAATCTGGTTTTATACAGATTAGTCCCACAAGTGAAGGGCCTTGGACGACAGTCAGGCTGAACTACGCTGCACGTGCTGCTTGTTTGCCATTTGGCAAGGATGTTGTCGCCAGTGAAGTAACTGCAAAGGATGGAAACAGATATGTAACAATTAGATCTCTGGTTTCGATTCGTAACAACACTGATTTCATACTTGATTTGTGCCTCAAGCTCAGAGCTTCCAGTGAAAACATGATGTCACTAGATGCTGCAGGAAGGGAAATGCAATTGGATGGTAACCAATTTGAGACAGATGAGTTCTTTGAAACTCAAAAGTATAACCCAACAAGTGGCTGGGTTGGTGTTTCAGTTCACACTAATTTAGACTACCCCGATGATGATGGATCTCATCAAGTAAGTGGTTAATATGAGTTCTTCCGTGTGTCAGAATTGCCCTTTGCAATGCTCCATTTTTTATGTGGTTATCAATTTATTATTGTATTCGTCCAGAGGATGGGTCCCCATCTCTCTCTCTCTGTGTTACACGGGAACTCAAAACACAATTAAAGTAAGACAGGGACCAAAGCTCCTTTAGATGATATGCAGCATATAAAGGGTCGAGAGGAGGTTTTTTATTGTAGTCTGTTTTGAAAGAAATTTTTTTTTTTGGTAGTAGCACTAATACGAGGAGAGAAATTTGAATGGTCATTTGGACTTTGGACATGTAGACTTGCAAATGCACCGGAGGATTGCAATCTTCACTGACATGAATGCTAGGGTGGAGGAAGACCGAAACAAATCTAGACCGAGATAGTAAGCAAAGGAGGATACTAGAGCTTCTGGTTTTAATAGAGCCGCTGTTAAATAGTTGGGACAAGATTTTATTGATTTGACTTGAGTGTTGTTCGTATTCAAGCTATCCAAAGAAAATAACACCTTCCAATAGAACCAAGAGTCTGAGGAAGCTCATTTTTTAAATCTGAAAGTATAGTTTCTACTCCTTCAAAGTGCTCCTGATTCCTCCCTCTCCAACGAGATGCTCCGCCAAAGAAAAGCTATTGTCGCGAAACCACTTCTGGCAGTTTGCTTCCTCCAAGACCGCAACTAGTACACTGAAATAGGCCTAACCTTGGACATTCCCATCCAAACTTAGAGGAAAATTGGAATTTCTTAATTATTTACTCATGTTGGATTCATTTCTGTACTAAATTTGCAATATTTTGGTACATTATATATGAGCGCACAATTTTTACGATGCACAAAATTTTAGTTAAAACTTGCCTTTTTTCCTGCCTTTTTAACCTAAGAGGAATAGGATAACTTCTATTGGAAGACTTCAGGGACTACTACTCCAAGGTTTCCAGCTTAAGTCTCACAAGAGTGGTTGACTCGATCTGCTTGGTTTTGGGGTGATTGCACACATCCGGAGTTTGCGTTATGGTCACAAGTCCAAAGGGTGTGTGATTAGTATAGTTCTACGGACGCCAAAGAATAAAAATAATCAATCGCAACTTTTAGCCTACAATTTTTCCTACTTCAACACGGTAGAAACAAAATGGTTCCGGGCTAAGCTCTTGGAACCACCCGAGTATAAGCCAAAAGGAATGGAAATTTTCCTTTAGGTATATTTTTAATAAAGGATGCAATTTTCCATATTACTTTAGCTTATTTTTAAGTTTTCAAAAAGGTTATTATATGGAGTAACTTGTACAATTAAAGTCACTCTTTCTATGGCTAATGAGTCTTGCCCGTATGTGATTCTGATAATCTGCATGATAAGAAAATTTATCATTGAAATCTTTGAGTCTAGTACGAAGATACAAAATGTATAGATGTATAGATTTAGACTTGTTTTCTTTCTTTCTTTCTTTGTTTCTATTTTATTTCTTTAAATTGGGGCTGAAGAGAAGTGAAATGTTGTTAACAGACTAAAATAATCTGTTAACCTGGATGCATGTTTCAAGAAAGAGACTTTGGCCTCTGATTTTCCGTAAATAAAGAAACCATACTTACATAGTAACACATTGGAGGATTTTTCCTTTTTTTAATTTGTCTGTTGTCCTTATTCTTTTTTCTCCTGCTGGTTTGATGGTTGAATAAATGTTGTTATGAGGTTATTAGAGCTTTAGAATTTAATTATGTTTTAATTCAAGAGAATTTTGAAAACTCGTAGTTTAGTTCTCTTATTCTTTCTGGTAAATAAACTCTAGTCAATCCTGAATCCTGGTTTAGGGGCATTTTAAATGTAAATAATAAATAATCTTTATTCATTTCATACTAAAAACTGCCTTTGGTATTAAAGCCTAATAGGTTGGTCTTGGTATGTAAAAACCCTCTTGTCATGATGTTGACAATGTTCCCAAGACGTGACTAAGTTTGGCTCATGAGTTGTGTTATTAGTTGGTGGTCTTTGTAACATACTATTCCTAACAAGGGGACAAAAAATGTCGGTGTTTATTTTCAGAATCCTGTGGTTGATGTGAAGAACAATTTCATAATTTGTAAAGGAAAGATGATGTCCATCTTTTGGTTACACAGCCTAATTCTGTGTCGAATTTGCTGATGCTTTTATGCTTTAGGTCTTTTTAAACACCAGGAGTTGAATTAGAGTTGAACACTTGATATGTCTTAAATCTTGCACCATTTTCCTTGTTCTAGTATCATCTGCTCGAGTTCCTGGGTTATTTATACAGGGAGCTTTGGGAGTTGAGTTGCCATCAGGATGGGAATGGGTTGATGATTGGCATATAGATAAGACTTCTGTTAACACTGCTGATGGGTGGGTTTATGCGCCAGATTTTCAAAGTTTAAAGTGGCCTGAATCATACAATCCCTTAAAATTTGTAAACTATGCAAGGCAAAGAAGATGGATCAGGGATAGGAAACGGGTACCAGGGGATGTCAAGCCACAATTATTTTTTGGGCCATTGAAACCCGGAGAAACTGTATCTCTTCCTCTTACAGGTTTGACCGAATCTGGATTGTATATTCTTCAGTTGAGGCCTTCGAATCTGAATAATAATAACGAATATGCATGGAGTTCTGTAATGGATAGACCTGATCAGTCGGAGGATATTGGTAGACCTAAACAAAACTCTGAAATATGTGTCTCATCCCTCACTGAATCTGAGAAACTTTTTTATTGCTCTGAAGTTATTGGAAGCACATCAAATAGATCACATGGAATGTGGTTCTGTGTGGCCATACAAGCAATGGAGATTGCAAAGGACATTCATTCTAATTCCATTGAGGACTGGAAACTTGTGGTGAAAGCTCCTCTATGTATTACCAATTATCTTCCTTTTACAGCTGAATATTCTGTTCTTGAGATGCAAGCCAGTGGTCATTTTCTTGCTTGCTCCAGTGGAGTATTTAATCCAGGCGGGACTGTAAAGGTTCATAATGCTGACATAAGAAACCCTTTGTTCTTTTCGCTACTTCCACAAAGAGGATGGCTGCCAATCCATGTGAGTCTTCTTGTCCAGGCGCTGTTTTCTTCTGTTGGTACCCTTTTCCTTTTATTTTTTTTTTTCCTGGTTGACTAAACATGTCTGTGGCAATTCACTTCCCACTACATCTTTCATAGGAGGCTGTTCTCATATCCCATCCCAGCCGAGTTCCATCAAAAACAATTAGCTTAAGAAGTTCAATATCTGGAAGGTTTGTATATATGCTTCATAACCCTTGTGTGGCCTCTTGCGGATTCTATTTCTATTTTTGTAAGGACTTAAAATACAAAACAATTTGTATTTTCAGGATTGTTCAAATAATTCTTGAACACAATCATAACAAAGAAAGCCAACTGCAGGCGAAGATTGTGAGAATCTATTCTCCTTATTGGTTTGCAATTGCTAGATGTCCATCACTCACCTTAAGACTTATAGAGATGGCAGGGAGAGAGCCAACAAGGAAGATTTCTCTCCCTTTCCATTCCAAGAAGTATGATGACGTAATTCTTGAGGAAATCACTGAAGAGGAAATTTATGATGGTTATACGATTGCTTCTGTATTGAACTTGAAATTGCTGGGTCTCTCAGTCTCTGTTGCACAATCTGGCAAGGAACATTTTGGGCCAGTTAAAGATCTTTCTCCACTTGGCGACATGGTAATCCGATTAATTGTATGTTGGATGATTTTGTCTTTCTGTAAACAGTTTTTTGAGTGTTTTTTCTTTGCTTTGCTTTCCTTTTTTTCGTTAGGATGGATCACTTGACATTTGTGCCTACGATGATAATGGAAATTGCATACGGCTTTTTATAACTTCAAAGCCGTGCCCCTATCAATCTGTTCCGACAAAGGTTGTTGCAAGCTTTCACCAAAATCTTATTTAAGCATTATTTCATTTTGAACTCAAATTTTCCCTTTCTTCTCAGGTGATTTCCATCCGACCATTTATGACGTTTACCAATAGACTTGGACAAAACATTTTTGTGAAGTTAGGCAATGAAGATGAGCCAAAGGTTCTGCGCATGTCTGATGCACGAGTCTCCTTTGTATACCGTGAGACAGGTGGATCCAGTAAACTTCAGGTTAGTGGACCTCCTACTCTTTCCGATGCATAAGCATACCATGGAATGAGAGAATTCTGATTAATACGATTAGTTTCGAAGGAGAAAATTGTATTGATAGATTGATGACAATCAATCTAGGTTTTGCAGTTTCTGTTCTTTTTTCTGGAACACTGACAGATGATGTCAAAAATTACTTTATATAGAGAATATTATTGATGGTGAATCAGAGTGTGGAATGTATGAATTTTGTGGTCAATGAATCACAGTATTGCAAATTTTTTGTTTTAGAGTATAAAGATCACTCCAGTATAATTCAATCTTTTTTTTTAATGTAGACAAAATATTTGGATTGCCAAGATAGAACAAAGAAGAGTACTTCAGTGGTATTTACAATATTTTGCAGTTATTACTTTTTTCATATAAATCAAATTTAATGTGTAATTTTTAGCATTGCAGTAGATGTAAGCGTTATTTTGAGATGGGATTCAACAGGGAAATTTGCATTCGTCGGGATAGTAATCGAGAATATTATTTGCTGAAAAATCATACGAAAAGAATTATAGTACTGAATCTCCTAATTGGTGTTGTAAACATCTTGAAAAGGAAAGGTCATTTATTGAAATTTCTATTGCATTTTAATTATAAGTATCCCTGCATGTGTGTATGCACATTGGTCTTCACCTTTGAAGGTATAAATGGGACCCTTTGATCAAGCAGGTGCGATTGGAAGATACAGAATGGTCATTTCCTGTTCAAATCATGAAGGAGGACACCATATTTCTTGTTTTGAGAAAGCATGATGGTACATGGAGATTTTTGAAGACAGAAATCCGAGGCTATGAAGAGGGATCACGTTTTATTGTTGTATTTCGCCTCGGATCAACAAATGGTCCAATTAGGTACCTACTTGTACATGTGTATATGTTCCTAGATCACATACACCCGCACACATATGCATATGCATAGCAGAACCTTCTAGCTTGGAACTGCTGCTATTGGTTGCATTGCATTTTATTGTTTTGACTAGTCTGAGAAAGCTTTGGTCAACAGGATTGAAAACAGAGCAAGCAGCAAGAAAATAAGGATACGCCAATCTGGATTTGGTAATGACGCCTGGATTCAGTTAGAACCTCTTTCAACGGCATGTTTTTCTTGGGAGGATCCATATGGCCAAAAATTTATGGACGCGGAAGTCTGTAGTGGCAGTACTACTGCAGTCTGGAGACTTGACTTGAATAAGTCGGGAATATGTCCTTTACGTGATGGAGGACTAGCTTTACTTTTTCATGTTGTAGAGATAGGTGATGTCAAGGTTGCTAGGTTTGTAGATGAGAGGACATTAGGATTGAGTTCAAATGACGGAAGCAGGTCTTTAACACATGAGGGAAATTGGGTAAATCCTCGCATGCAGAGCAAGATGCCGGAGACTGCAGCTCCTCTGGAGGTTATAGTAGAATTTGGAGTTTTGGGGGTTTCTGTTGTGGACCATAGACCAAAGGAGCTCTCGTACTTGTACCTGGAAAGGGTCTTCATATCCTATTTGACTGGTTATGATGGTGGGACAACAAGCAGGTTAGAGCTTCTTCTTGGGTATTGTTTGCTTTCATTATTCCACCTAAATGTTGGCTTTCTTACCTTGAAAGACTTTGATATGACAATTTTGGACCGTGTTCCATCTGGGCTGGCTTGTTGGAATGTATTTGTGCAGAGAGTAGCAATACTATCTGTCATGACACATTTTTTATGTTTGTTGATGTTCCAAATGTTATTGCGCCTGAAGCTGCTGGCTTTAGAGACCTAGGATCAAATCTCCCCTTCATCCTGGTTGGGAAGGGGTCGGGGGATTTATTGGTAGTTGCATTCAGACCTTTCCGTGACCCCTGGATGTAGCACATTGTTGTCCTTGGACCTGCATACATGTACACACATCTTTTTTTTTTTTTTGGTCTGTGGGCGCTTTGGGTTGGGATGGCAGACCATAATTCTATTTTATGTTTCTTCTATTCTTTAATTTAGGTTTGCGTGATATACCATAAATGATCCCTTCTTTGTTAGTTTATGGTTTAGGATTTGGACTATGCCTTCTGTATCCTGCAATAGCAATTGTAAAGCTCTGGATGTACTCTCATGTAGTTCTATATTTTCTGAAATGGAATTATAGATTTCTTACAGATCAGGTAAGCTGATAGTTGCTGTTTTTTTTTTGCCCAGGTTCAAACTCATAGTAGGTTACTTGCAGCTCGACAACCAGCTCCCTCTAACATTGATGCCTGTATTATTGGCACCTGAACAAACCCTTGATGTCCATCATCCAGTATTCAAGATGACAGTAACAATGCGCAATGAAAATCCTGACGGCATCCAGGTGTACCCATATGTATATATTCGGGTAATGTTTCCTCCAAGTGCTGCCTGATTTACTTTGACCATATTGTATTGATATCTCACCAGATCATACGTTGACATGCTAGGTAACTGAAAAGTGTTGGAGGCTTAACGTTCATGAGCCAATCATATGGGCTTTGGTAGATTTTTATAACAATCTTCAACTTGATCATCTTCACCAAAATTCCAGTGTGACCCAAGTTGATCCAGAGATACGCATAGAGTAAGAATCGTATTTATGCTCACCTGTACCTTTATCCATTATCTCGCTCTCCATCAAATAATTAGGACCATTCAAGGTTGATTTATATGCTTAATGGGTCACTCTAATTATTGCCAATATGTTTTGATGAATAATTTGGTTATAGGATGCCTAGGAGCCTGTCAGCTGTATAGGGTCTTCTGGCCATGCATTGTTGCTGCTTCATTTCATTCTTCAAGTTGTGCTTAGATGTTACTAATAAGATTTGGAAGAATATGTTAGCGTACTAAGCAGGTGAAGGGCAAGTGAATATCACCTTTGAGGTGCTTCGTCCAGGCCTGATTCCGCTAGAGTTCAGGTGGGGGGAAAAAAAGAACCAGAAATGCTTTGTGCCACTGGTAAAATTTGGAAGAATTTATAAAGTGATATTGACTGCTAAGGGACTATCATAATGTTAAAAAAGATACAAGAATTTTGAAACAGACCTATTTAGCCCCCTTTTAGGTAACTCTAGGGTTGCACAGACATTGATCCTAGATCCCTCAATTCGTATCACTTAGGTTCACTTAAGTTTGGTTTTACCACCTGAGTTTATGGTTTAAACCATAAATAAAACAAATGGATTCATTTAGTAATGACAGTTTGAGTGAAACATAATCTAGAATAGGGGAGGACATTCATGTGCATATGAAAAATTCTGCACTAAATATCTGAAGCGAAAAAACAGCTTTAAACATGTAAACAGTCAAAAACTTGAAAAAAGTGAATGATGTGCCAAAAATGGAATTTGAGGAATCCAGAAATGTAATCTATGAAGTAAGTATTGAGAGGTTGTCAGTACTAGACGAAATCAGCTTTTTAGAGCTTGAATTGCAAAAGTTGAAAAGCTAACATATCTAAGGAACTCACAAACGGATTTTCCTTGGGCACTGAAAAGCTTAATAAGTTGCTGAGTATGAGGAAAGATGCGGGTGATTAAGAGGGCTTTCACCTTCCAAAACCTGTTTGCCAAGGCCAAAATTGTAGCAATAAAAGCTAATGCATTGGACAAGGTTGAATCTGAGCTTCTTGACTTCGTTGAGGCTGCAAAGAAAAGTCCTACATTTTCCCAATTCTTGAAGGATTTGACAGTACCTGCTAATACCAGAGTAAAGGCTATAAATTAAGTTTGCGCTCAAGCTAAATTTTCGGACCTCACAAAGAACTTTTTGGGTATGAAGTGCCGGTGGTAGCTCATATTTTATTATGCATGAAACAAGTGGCATAAGAAATAGATTAAACATCAGTGTTTGTTCGCATGATTGATCAATATTTAGACCATTACATGGCTGGTTCAAGTGGTTGGCCATAGCATGTATTTGTGGCCTTCTTTTTAGATATACTAGCTATGGAGCATAGGAACAAGAAGAGGGTCACTTTAGGAATTAAACATGGAGGACAATTTGGTTCTTGCTAGTCAAATTTAGGATTAGTTCTAATCATAATTCTTGTTAACTTTTTCCTATTTCAAAAATTAGACAAAATACTTTGAATTGACATGGTTAGGTAATTAGATTTCAAGAATGAAGGCTATTTTGGTCTCTTCAACAATGGGATAAAAACAGTAGCTGTGTTCTTCGGAGGCCTTAGTGATCTAGCAGACTTGGAGAATTCAAAGAGTACAATCTTTGTCCTTGTAGAAGTCTAGTAGCCTACCGGTGAATGTGTACACCTAATCTGTAGTAGTGTAGAGCAAGGTTGTCAAAACGTGTATTGAAAGGCGTATTGTTTTTCAAAAATTTATATCCCATGTCGTAACGTGTCGTGTATTGTATTGTAAGATACATGCAGTTTTATAAAAGATATTCAAAAATACGTATACCTATGAAAAAAATGTCATAATAACATTTCATTGCACCACATATTTCTCACATAAAATAATTTAAAGACTACAAGGACCAAAACAAAAATTTAATAATCTAAGTATTCAAGTACTAACGTAAACCCACCACATTCTAATGTACAACACAAGACTACTCATGGTGTGCATAACACAAATGAGGTACACACTTTGCAAAGCTCTAAGAAGTCGGAGTCAAAACCTTGTGTTGTCAAAGAATATGCTTGTATGTTTCACATTCAGTGGGCATAGTGATACTAATACTCAATACACCTTGCCTAGGAACAATTCAAAAAAACTGGTGCACCAAGTCAATCAATCCAAAGCCCAAGGATCAAATTATCGTTCTGAAACATTCGAAACGTTCCCGTTTCTAAGGAGATCGAAACAAAACAGTGATGAAATCGAAATTATGATATTTTGAGATATTCCATAATATTTTTAAATGTATTATAATATTTTAATGCATTTGCACAATTGTTTTGGAATATTTTAAGNGTGAAGCCTTACCTTCGGTTAAAGATTAGAAAGCCCTTCGCCCTACTAATAAAAGGCTCTATCTCGGATTCGTTGAACTTTCACTTGAGCTTGAGTGGATACTTGTCTATTGCGCATACCGGGTACGAAGTAGTACATATCACCCACATGAATGCGACATCAATCTAAGTAGATCAAAATTAGGAAGCTCTATTTGTCAAAATGCTGGAAATGTAATTCCCTTTTCCTATCCCCCACCCCCTCAAAAAAAAAAATGAAAAAATGAAAAGAAGAAATAAAAAACCCAAAACTGCCCCCAAATTCCACCAGACATGTGAAAAAAGGTCAAAAGAACCGGTTATTGGAAACTAATAGGCGGCTTATGTTACACCCAGGGGCGGAACCACCCGATCCTCAATTTTTTTTGTTATTTTAGATATGAATTTTTAAAATAAAATTTAGATATATTTAATTGTTCCCATCTTATTATTGTGTTATTGTGATATTGATTAGTATAGACCTCTACCTAAATGATTATTAATTTTTGAGCATTGTTATTGATACCTAATTTTAGGACCTAATGCATTGTGATATTAAGGCTAATAGTGAGTCCTTATATGTAATAACATCCACTATCTATCCAATGATCATAAGTCATTGGGTCCCGACCAAATAAAATTCCAAATTAGGTACAACTAGTATTATTCTTAAACTTTTAGATACGTTGACATGTCCGAATAAGTTTTAGACATATTGGAGTCATTTTTCTAAATTATTGGATTATTTTGTTATCATTTAGAAATGAGTGTCATCATGTAATAAATTACAGAATAATAAATGGAAGATTGTTATCACCATTTGGTATATAGAAAAAAGTTTTTAGTAATATATTGATATGTAACGCTTTTAAATGATAAAAACTCATCAAATACAATTGTTAATGACAATAATTAGTTTCATACAAAGTTTTAATTAATTTCTTTTTATTTTTTGTTTGTTCATGTCATGTAAATCGGTTTTTAACTTTTTATGTTTAGTGAATTTTTACGCATTAAATATAATTATAGTAAATATGAGTTTATGAACTTTGTGGTCAAAACAAGTCTTGTCAATATGGGGTGGCCTATTCTGTAGTACTGGATATGGCCTTACACTAGGCATTGTGTTGTAATGTTTCCCTCAACCACTACCAAGTGTTTAGTGTAACTTCCTGTTGACTATGGCTGTAAAATTTTAGGAAGATAAGAATCGTATCAACTTTGCTGGAAAGTTGTAGAATTTGAAGCTGAAAAGTTAGAGCATTTGAAGTTTGGAGCAAAATTTGTTATTTTCTTTTGAAATTGTTTAAATACTAATAGCATTCCATTGTTTTTGATCTTATATTGATATTAGTTATTATCTGTGCCTGAAGGTACAAAGTAATAAAAAAAAATAGTTAACAATAAACATATTTATATTCATACTTAAAATCAAATCACAAACATAAAAAAGAGAGAAAAGAATTTAAATACCGATTGTAGTAGGGGTGATCGGTGGTATTAGTGGTGGTGGGAGACAAAGATGGTTGTGGCGGGTGGTAACGATCGTGGAGATGGTTGTAGTGGATGATAACGATCGTGGTGATGGTGGCAGCCGTGGGTGACAACGGTGATGGTGGTTGGTAATGGTGATGGTGGGGCGACGACAGTGGTGGTGGCGGCGGTGGCGGGTTGTGGTGGTGGACAGTGATGATAGTGGTGGTGGGTGATGACGGGTGTTTTTGAGCGATAATGTGATGGGTGGTAGCGAATGACAATATTGATAATGGTGGTAGGTGTGCTGGGGGTGGGTGACAGTGGATGGCGACAGTGGTGGGTAATGACGGGTGATGGTGATAAGGGTGGATAACAGTGGTTGGCGGCGATGGTGGGAGATGACGAGTGGTTGTGGGTTGTGGTAGTTGGTAGCAGTGGGTGGTGGTGGGCATTAATGGTGGTGATGGGTGCTGGCGGTGGTAGTGGGATGATGGTGGTAATAGCAATAAGTATAAGAATGAGATGACGATGATGGTGGGTGGGTGGTGGCGGTGGACGATGATGTTTTCAATCGATGGTGGGTGGCGTTGGTGGTGGCGATGGCGGTCGCCGATGGGGTACTGGGGGTAATGGTGGGGGTGGGGTGACAGCGACGACGGGGGTGATGACAGCGGCGGTGGGGTAGCGACGACGATGATGGTAGTGGTGATGGTTGTGGGGTTGATAGTGGGGCGGTGGTGGTGGTAGGGGTAATGGTAGGATAGTGGCGTTGGTGGTAGAGTGGCGACAGTGGTGGGGGTGGCGGTGGTGGTGGTGGAGTGGTGGCGACGACAATTGTTATGGCAAAGGTAGCGGTGGGACGGCGGCGGCGGCAGTGGTGGTATTGGTGGTGGTAGTGGTGATGGGGATGGGACAGTGGGGGTGATGGTGATGGTGGTGGGGGTAGTCATGGTGGTGGGGTGGCGGCGGCGGCGGTAGTGGTGATAGTGGGACGGTTTCAAACATTATTTTTTTTTTTTAAAATACTTATGAGAAGTTCTAAGTTCTAAAAGTATTTTTAAAAAGTCACCCACACACACCCTTAGGAGTTTATTTCCTTATTAAATTTGAGGTGTTAATATTAGTCGTTAGATTTACTTTAAAGTAAAATTTAAAGAGATCTCAACTGCGAAAAGTAAAAGTTATTTTGTTTATCTTTTGAGATTTGAATTGTATTGTACTTTATTATATAGATATCTCTGTTTACAATTTTATTTTACACATCTTGTTTGTGGAAGGGTCTTGCATGTTTTAAAGCTACTTCTATGATCTTGATATTCAGTTTCCAAGGGTGGAAGGGTTGTCATCTCATCAGTATGCTGTTACAGTCCGTCTTACTCTAGACCAGAATCTCCCAAGTGGATCGCTTTTGAATCAGCAAAGTGCACGCACGTGTGGTACCGACTCGCCTAATTGCGCATCTTCTGATCTCAAATTTGTGATCTGGAATGAAATGTTCTTCTTTAAAGTTGATTCTCTGGTGTGTACGAAATTGAGCCCTTTTTTTACATTTCAGTAAACATTTTTTTTTGTTATGGTCAATATTATAATGTCATAATGATTGATTTTTTTCTAATTTGGTACTGCATTCCCTTTGCTTAATAAATTATGCTGATTTCTATAAGTTATAGCATCAATTTCTGCTTGAGTGGTGAGTTGCACATCCACGATATCTGTTATATGGTTTGGCAATATTAGTAGTCCATTATCTCGCCTTGCAGAAACTTAACATGGCTATCATAGTTTCTTTAGTGGTTTTCTTCTGCACTGTTTTTAAAGATAAATAATCCTTTTTTTTTTTTGTGTGTGTGTGCTTGTGTTAAGCGTGGACAAAAATTAATATTTATGCAAGTCTTGCCATCGTGTTCAACAGATTCATTGCTAGTTACTAGTGAGGTTCATTTATGTCTTAAAAGGGAAAGATTTATTTTTAAGGTTAGTTTAGAGTATATGTGACTTGTATGTATGTTAACATTTGTCATTTCCGATGGAGAACCACATGTTGGATTAAGATGAAGTGATCAACAATTTACTCTTAAAGACATAAGTAGCTTGGAATCTGTCTGCTGTTTCATTAAACCAGGCCGTGTTTTGGGTTTGTAGTATACTTTGGTAATATGACTTTTTGCCTTGTAAATGGCATGTTCTTCACTTAATTCACTTTTCATGGCTGTTTTAACTCTTACGATTTTCTGGCCATTTGAAATACTTACGCTGCTAGTAGTGACACATTAAGAGCTAAGGCCGGACTATTCTGGAATTATGAGGGACCCTTCCAGATCAGGAAGGCCTGCTGTTCTTTTTCTTGGATTTTAAATAGTGTAGCCTGCATTGAACTCGGGGATGATCGATGCCTATGGTTGTTTTCTTTGGATTGTTTAATGCAATCAGGGGCTTCCTGAACAGCCAAGGCGTATGTAGCACACTGTAATCTTCAGAGGTTGAAAACACAACAATAGGAAGATCTGAAGTTTCACACAACCAAATTGGTTTTGCATCAGTTTGGTGTGAGAGCTAAAAGATCCATTTGCTTGGCATGGGAGGCATTAGCAACAATGAGGAAATTAAAAGTTTCAAGCAAAATGTGGGTAGTATAGACGAAACAGTGAGTTCACTGGATGCAAACTAAACTCCTTAAAAGGCTTCTCATATATGCTTTACTTCAACTAAAAGGAAGGGAAGTGGGCTTCAACTTTTGGTTACTGACTCAATTATTTTACCTCCTATAGACATGGATCATTCCAACCAGGAAGTTGATATAAAGCAAGGTTACGTTAGGAGATTAATCCTAGGGACTAGTAGCAAAAGTCCTAGAATCTTTTCAACCTTATGTTGAGGGTTATTCCTAAGGAGTTCTAGGTGAGACTCCTAATCATTCTTCTCTATATTCAAGAGTCTCTTTCTGCTCCTCTTTTTCTACTCTATGTTTTGCATGATCAAAGCCTCATCATGCAATTATTTCTACTCAATCTTTAGCACTCACACAAGCACTCCACCACCACAAATAGCTGCTGTCTCAAAATTTCAAGGGACTTGTTTTCTAAATTTCAGCAGCTATATTCTTTGTAAACCATACCAACATTCTTTCCTCAACCTCAGCCTACCACAAAACCAAACTGGTGCTGCATCCCTGCAACAGGGCAATCAAAATAGTGCTGTTCTTTAGTTGGCCAACACCAGTGAAGGTATATAGTTTCTGAAAAGAAATATTAGCATCAATATAAACCAAAATAGACTGCACACTGGAGAATTGATGCATCGACATGTGACGCTAATTGGTTAGTGTCGGGTTGCATTCTAAGACCTCTACAGACCACATAGTTGGCAGATGGGGACATAAATAGGTTCCAGGATTGGAGCAAACCTTAAAATTATGATAGCTAGAGGAGCGGTGGGCCTATGCGGCAAAAAAATTTGCAGGCCTTTAACCAGGAAGGCCAGCAAAGCAGTAATCATCCAAGTGTCCCCAGGGGCCTTTGGTGGGACAGGGTCTATTAGTGGCCCACAACATTTAAGAGGGCCGTGGCTTGCTGAGGCCCTTTCTCATCCACCCAAGACTTCTCTGACAGGCCAAACAAAGTTCAATAACAGAGCCTATTGCTCAAATCCTGACCAAGTGGCTAGCTTTCAGCTCCTTGACGCTGTGATAGTTTTACCAGCTTCCAGAAGCCTGTGATACTAACCATGATGCATTGTTAGCCTTAGTGTGTTGCTGTGCTGAATTTTCCTTTATATATGAGTATGAAGATGATGAAATGGGGTTGACGCTGCATAGGATCCAGCAATATATACGTATCAAACAAAAAAATAAATAATGTGTACCAAATTTAATTATAGGGTATTCTATATCCATACCTTGATCATTGGCATCATACATGTGTGATATTATGTATTAGTTTTCCTATGCAGCATTTCTGATCTGTCATATATTATTTCCATGAGTTTCATCCAGTAGTTTTATACAAAATTTTGTTGAAGGGATGTGATCTATGAGCTGTATTTTGAATTCAAGTATGTTGATCTACATTGGCTTCTAGAGGCTTGAATTTTAGCTTTTTCCTTGTGCTGCCTTCTACTCTTAGCAATCATCTAATGAATTTTCCTCCATAACTTTGAACAGGACTGCTGCGTGGTGGAATTTGTTGTAACTGACATGGGGAGGGGGGAAGGTATTTTCTTTACAGATATACCACCGTTGTTTTAGCAGTTGTTCAAAATTTTGGACTTTAGTTTCTTTTAATATTCAAACTGTGGATTTGATTTGATTTCTGTCCTAAAAATAACACCTAGTGGCTAGTTCAGTTCCCATTAATATGGGCCTGAGAGGGGTAGATTGGGTGCAAATCTAACATTTGACATTATGTCTGGCCTCAGGTTCATTACTCTATTTGAGCCTATAAATGCCCCCATGCAAGTGCTTTTCCTTTTTGTCTGATACATTTATGCAATATTTTTCATAAGCTGATAAGATGACATGAAAATATCCTAGACGGGGTGAAAGTGAGTGGGCTGTCTGTGATCATTATTAACAATCACCACTGTGTGTGAAAACTCTCCTCACTTTCGAGGACAGGCAATGGGGCATCTCTGGAGTAAACAAAGTCAACCATCAGTGTATTTCTGACTAAGGCTTTGTGTTTTCCAGAGACATGTCAGGTGTCCCAGATAAATATGAAACATTGCATAGAACAGCATTAAAGTTTTAAATTTACTTCAACTGTACTTCACAGGTGATATTGTTGGATACTTCTCTGCTCCTTTGAAGCAAATTGCTGACACCCAAGACAACTCATATTCATATAATCGTTTAAGTGGATTGAAATGGCTACCTTTGTCCTCATTGGAATCCAGGGTAAATCACTGATCATTTCCATCTTATGTTATGTTATTTTTGTCATTCAAAACTTGGACATATCCCAGTTGTCCTCTCTTGGTGGCATCTTATGACAACTTTCCTTGTCGTTCATGTTCATGCAGACAATTACCCAAGGAAATAAAGATAAAAACTCATATGGGAAAATAAGATGTGCAGTTATCTTATCACCCAGGTTTGAAGTTGAAAACGGTGATCAGTGTTTTGGTGGGAGCAGCAAATCTGGTTTTATACAGATTAGTCCCACAAGTGAAGGGCCTTGGACGACAGTCAGGCTGAACTACGCTGCACGTGCTGCTTGTTTGCCATTTGGCAAGGATGTTGTCGCCAGTGAAGTAACTGCAAAGGATGGAAACAGATATGTAACAATTAGATCTCTGGTTTCGATTCGTAACAACACTGATTTCATACTTGATTTGTGCCTCAAGCTCAGAGCTTCCAGTGAAAACATGATGTCACTAGATGCTGCAGGAAGGGAAATGCAATTGGATGGTAACCAATTTGAGACAGATGAGTTCTTTGAAACTCAAAAGTATAACCCAACAAGTGGCTGGGTTGGTGTTTCAGTTCACACTAATTTAGACTACCCCGATGATGATGGATCTCATCAAGTAAGTGGTTAATATGAGTTCTTCCGTGTGTCAGAATTGCCCTTTGCAATGCTCCATTTTTTATGTGGTTATCAATTTATTATTGTATTCGTCCAGAGGATGGGTCCCCATCTCTCTCTCTCTGTGTTACACGGGAACTCAAAACACAATTAAAGTAAGACAGGGACCAAAGCTCCTTTAGATGATATGCAGCATATAAAGGGTCGAGAGGAGGTTTTTTATTGTAGTCTGTTTTGAAAGAAATTTTTTTTTTTGGTAGTAGCACTAATACGAGGAGAGAAATTTGAATGGTCATTTGGACTTTGGACATGTAGACTTGCAAATGCACCGGAGGATTGCAATCTTCACTGACATGAATGCTAGGGTGGAGGAAGACCGAAACAAATCTAGACCGAGATAGTAAGCAAAGGAGGATACTAGAGCTTCTGGTTTTAATAGAGCCGCTGTTAAATAGTTGGGACAAGATTTTATTGATTTGACTTGAGTGTTGTTCGTATTCAAGCTATCCAAAGAAAATAACACCTTCCAATAGAACCAAGAGTCTGAGGAAGCTCATTTTTTAAATCTGAAAGTATAGTTTCTACTCCTTCAAAGTGCTCCTGATTCCTCCCTCTCCAACGAGATGCTCCGCCAAAGAAAAGCTATTGTCGCGAAACCACTTCTGGCAGTTTGCTTCCTCCAAGACCGCAACTAGTACACTGAAATAGGCCTAACCTTGGACATTCCCATCCAAACTTAGAGGAAAATTGGAATTTCTTAATTATTTACTCATGTTGGATTCATTTCTGTACTAAATTTGCAATATTTTGGTACATTATATATGAGCGCACAATTTTTACGATGCACAAAATTTTAGTTAAAACTTGCCTTTTTTCCTGCCTTTTTAACCTAAGAGGAATAGGATAACTTCTATTGGAAGACTTCAGGGACTACTACTCCAAGGTTTCCAGCTTAAGTCTCACAAGAGTGGTTGACTCGATCTGCTTGGTTTTGGGGTGATTGCACACATCCGGAGTTTGCGTTATGGTCACAAGTCCAAAGGGTGTGTGATTAGTATAGTTCTACGGACGCCAAAGAATAAAAATAATCAATCGCAACTTTTAGCCTACAATTTTTCCTACTTCAACACGGTAGAAACAAAATGGTTCCGGGCTAAGCTCTTGGAACCACCCGAGTATAAGCCAAAAGGAATGGAAATTTTCCTTTAGGTATATTTTTAATAAAGGATGCAATTTTCCATATTACTTTAGCTTATTTTTAAGTTTTCAAAAAGGTTATTATATGGAGTAACTTGTACAATTAAAGTCACTCTTTCTATGGCTAATGAGTCTTGCCCGTATGTGATTCTGATAATCTGCATGATAAGAAAATTTATCATTGAAATCTTTGAGTCTAGTACGAAGATACAAAATGTATAGATGTATAGATTTAGACTTGTTTTCTTTCTTTCTTTCTTTGTTTCTATTTTATTTCTTTAAATTGGGGCTGAAGAGAAGTGAAATGTTGTTAACAGACTAAAATAATCTGTTAACCTGGATGCATGTTTCAAGAAAGAGACTTTGGCCTCTGATTTTCCGTAAATAAAGAAACCATACTTACATAGTAACACATTGGAGGATTTTTCCTTTTTTTAATTTGTCTGTTGTCCTTATTCTTTTTTCTCCTGCTGGTTTGATGGTTGAATAAATGTTGTTATGAGGTTATTAGAGCTTTAGAATTTAATTATGTTTTAATTCAAGAGAATTTTGAAAACTCGTAGTTTAGTTCTCTTATTCTTTCTGGTAAATAAACTCTAGTCAATCCTGAATCCTGGTTTAGGGGCATTTTAAATGTAAATAATAAATAATCTTTATTCATTTCATACTAAAAACTGCCTTTGGTATTAAAGCCTAATAGGTTGGTCTTGGTATGTAAAAACCCTCTTGTCATGATGTTGACAATGTTCCCAAGACGTGACTAAGTTTGGCTCATGAGTTGTGTTATTAGTTGGTGGTCTTTGTAACATACTATTCCTAACAAGGGGACAAAAAATGTCGGTGTTTATTTTCAGAATCCTGTGGTTGATGTGAAGAACAATTTCATAATTTGTAAAGGAAAGATGATGTCCATCTTTTGGTTACACAGCCTAATTCTGTGTCGAATTTGCTGATGCTTTTATGCTTTAGGTCTTTTTAAACACCAGGAGTTGAATTAGAGTTGAACACTTGATATGTCTTAAATCTTGCACCATTTTCCTTGTTCTAGTATCATCTGCTCGAGTTCCTGGGTTATTTATACAGGGAGCTTTGGGAGTTGAGTTGCCATCAGGATGGGAATGGGTTGATGATTGGCATATAGATAAGACTTCTGTTAACACTGCTGATGGGTGGGTTTATGCGCCAGATTTTCAAAGTTTAAAGTGGCCTGAATCATACAATCCCTTAAAATTTGTAAACTATGCAAGGCAAAGAAGATGGATCAGGGATAGGAAACGGGTACCAGGGGATGTCAAGCCACAATTATTTTTTGGGCCATTGAAACCCGGAGAAACTGTATCTCTTCCTCTTACAGGTTTGACCGAATCTGGATTGTATATTCTTCAGTTGAGGCCTTCGAATCTGAATAATAATAACGAATATGCATGGAGTTCTGTAATGGATAGACCTGATCAGTCGGAGGATATTGGTAGACCTAAACAAAACTCTGAAATATGTGTCTCATCCCTCACTGAATCTGAGAAACTTTTTTATTGCTCTGAAGTTATTGGAAGCACATCAAATAGATCACATGGAATGTGGTTCTGTGTGGCCATACAAGCAATGGAGATTGCAAAGGACATTCATTCTAATTCCATTGAGGACTGGAAACTTGTGGTGAAAGCTCCTCTATGTATTACCAATTATCTTCCTTTTACAGCTGAATATTCTGTTCTTGAGATGCAAGCCAGTGGTCATTTTCTTGCTTGCTCCAGTGGAGTATTTAATCCAGGCGGGACTGTAAAGGTTCATAATGCTGACATAAGAAACCCTTTGTTCTTTTCGCTACTTCCACAAAGAGGATGGCTGCCAATCCATGTGAGTCTTCTTGTCCAGGCGCTGTTTTCTTCTGTTGGTACCCTTTTCCTTTTATTTTTTTTTTTCCTGGTTGACTAAACATGTCTGTGGCAATTCACTTCCCACTACATCTTTCATAGGAGGCTGTTCTCATATCCCATCCCAGCCGAGTTCCATCAAAAACAATTAGCTTAAGAAGTTCAATATCTGGAAGGTTTGTATATATGCTTCATAACCCTTGTGTGGCCTCTTGCGGATTCTATTTCTATTTTTGTAAGGACTTAAAATACAAAACAATTTGTATTTTCAGGATTGTTCAAATAATTCTTGAACACAATCATAACAAAGAAAGCCAACTGCAGGCGAAGATTGTGAGAATCTATTCTCCTTATTGGTTTGCAATTGCTAGATGTCCATCACTCACCTTAAGACTTATAGAGATGGCAGGGAGAGAGCCAACAAGGAAGATTTCTCTCCCTTTCCATTCCAAGAAGTATGATGACGTAATTCTTGAGGAAATCACTGAAGAGGAAATTTATGATGGTTATACGATTGCTTCTGTATTGAACTTGAAATTGCTGGGTCTCTCAGTCTCTGTTGCACAATCTGGCAAGGAACATTTTGGGCCAGTTAAAGATCTTTCTCCACTTGGCGACATGGTAATCCGATTAATTGTATGTTGGATGATTTTGTCTTTCTGTAAACAGTTTTTTGAGTGTTTTTTCTTTGCTTTGCTTTCCTTTTTTTCGTTAGGATGGATCACTTGACATTTGTGCCTACGATGATAATGGAAATTGCATACGGCTTTTTATAACTTCAAAGCCGTGCCCCTATCAATCTGTTCCGACAAAGGTTGTTGCAAGCTTTCACCAAAATCTTATTTAAGCATTATTTCATTTTGAACTCAAATTTTCCCTTTCTTCTCAGGTGATTTCCATCCGACCATTTATGACGTTTACCAATAGACTTGGACAAAACATTTTTGTGAAGTTAGGCAATGAAGATGAGCCAAAGGTTCTGCGCATGTCTGATGCACGAGTCTCCTTTGTATACCGTGAGACAGGTGGATCCAGTAAACTTCAGGTTAGTGGACCTCCTACTCTTTCCGATGCATAAGCATACCATGGAATGAGAGAATTCTGATTAATACGATTAGTTTCGAAGGAGAAAATTGTATTGATAGATTGATGACAATCAATCTAGGTTTTGCAGTTTCTGTTCTTTTTTCTGGAACACTGACAGATGATGTCAAAAATTACTTTATATAGAGAATATTATTGATGGTGAATCAGAGTGTGGAATGTATGAATTTTGTGGTCAATGAATCACAGTATTGCAAATTTTTTGTTTTAGAGTATAAAGATCACTCCAGTATAATTCAATCTTTTTTTTTAATGTAGACAAAATATTTGGATTGCCAAGATAGAACAAAGAAGAGTACTTCAGTGGTATTTACAATATTTTGCAGTTATTACTTTTTTCATATAAATCAAATTTAATGTGTAATTTTTAGCATTGCAGTAGATGTAAGCGTTATTTTGAGATGGGATTCAACAGGGAAATTTGCATTCGTCGGGATAGTAATCGAGAATATTATTTGCTGAAAAATCATACGAAAAGAATTATAGTACTGAATCTCCTAATTGGTGTTGTAAACATCTTGAAAAGGAAAGGTCATTTATTGAAATTTCTATTGCATTTTAATTATAAGTATCCCTGCATGTGTGTATGCACATTGGTCTTCACCTTTGAAGGTATAAATGGGACCCTTTGATCAAGCAGGTGCGATTGGAAGATACAGAATGGTCATTTCCTGTTCAAATCATGAAGGAGGACACCATATTTCTTGTTTTGAGAAAGCATGATGGTACATGGAGATTTTTGAAGACAGAAATCCGAGGCTATGAAGAGGGATCACGTTTTATTGTTGTATTTCGCCTCGGATCAACAAATGGTCCAATTAGGTACCTACTTGTACATGTGTATATGTTCCTAGATCACATACACCCGCACACATATGCATATGCATAGCAGAACCTTCTAGCTTGGAACTGCTGCTATTGGTTGCATTGCATTTTATTGTTTTGACTAGTCTGAGAAAGCTTTGGTCAACAGGATTGAAAACAGAGCAAGCAGCAAGAAAATAAGGATACGCCAATCTGGATTTGGTAATGACGCCTGGATTCAGTTAGAACCTCTTTCAACGGCATGTTTTTCTTGGGAGGATCCATATGGCCAAAAATTTATGGACGCGGAAGTCTGTAGTGGCAGTACTACTGCAGTCTGGAGACTTGACTTGAATAAGTCGGGAATATGTCCTTTACGTGATGGAGGACTAGCTTTACTTTTTCATGTTGTAGAGATAGGTGATGTCAAGGTTGCTAGGTTTGTAGATGAGAGGACATTAGGATTGAGTTCAAATGACGGAAGCAGGTCTTTAACACATGAGGGAAATTGGGTAAATCCTCGCATGCAGAGCAAGATGCCGGAGACTGCAGCTCCTCTGGAGGTTATAGTAGAATTTGGAGTTTTGGGGGTTTCTGTTGTGGACCATAGACCAAAGGAGCTCTCGTACTTGTACCTGGAAAGGGTCTTCATATCCTATTTGACTGGTTATGATGGTGGGACAACAAGCAGGTTAGAGCTTCTTCTTGGGTATTGTTTGCTTTCATTATTCCACCTAAATGTTGGCTTTCTTACCTTGAAAGACTTTGATATGACAATTTTGGACCGTGTTCCATCTGGGCTGGCTTGTTGGAATGTATTTGTGCAGAGAGTAGCAATACTATCTGTCATGACACATTTTTTATGTTTGTTGATGTTCCAAATGTTATTGCGCCTGAAGCTGCTGGCTTTAGAGACCTAGGATCAAATCTCCCCTTCATCCTGGTTGGGAAGGGGTCGGGGGATTTATTGGTAGTTGCATTCAGACCTTTCCGTGACCCCTGGATGTAGCACATTGTTGTCCTTGGACCTGCATACATGTACACACATCTTTTTTTTTTTTTTGGTCTGTGGGCGCTTTGGGTTGGGATGGCAGACCATAATTCTATTTTATGTTTCTTCTATTCTTTAATTTAGGTTTGCGTGATATACCATAAATGATCCCTTCTTTGTTAGTTTATGGTTTAGGATTTGGACTATGCCTTCTGTATCCTGCAATAGCAATTGTAAAGCTCTGGATGTACTCTCATGTAGTTCTATATTTTCTGAAATGGAATTATAGATTTCTTACAGATCAGGTAAGCTGATAGTTGCTGTTTTTTTTTTGCCCAGGTTCAAACTCATAGTAGGTTACTTGCAGCTCGACAACCAGCTCCCTCTAACATTGATGCCTGTATTATTGGCACCTGAACAAACCCTTGATGTCCATCATCCAGTATTCAAGATGACAGTAACAATGCGCAATGAAAATCCTGACGGCATCCAGGTGTACCCATATGTATATATTCGGGTAATGTTTCCTCCAAGTGCTGCCTGATTTACTTTGACCATATTGTATTGATATCTCACCAGATCATACGTTGACATGCTAGGTAACTGAAAAGTGTTGGAGGCTTAACGTTCATGAGCCAATCATATGGGCTTTGGTAGATTTTTATAACAATCTTCAACTTGATCATCTTCACCAAAATTCCAGTGTGACCCAAGTTGATCCAGAGATACGCATAGAGTAAGAATCGTATTTATGCTCACCTGTACCTTTATCCATTATCTCGCTCTCCATCAAATAATTAGGACCATTCAAGGTTGATTTATATGCTTAATGGGTCACTCTAATTATTGCCAATATGTTTTGATGAATAATTTGGTTATAGGATGCCTAGGAGCCTGTCAGCTGTATAGGGTCTTCTGGCCATGCATTGTTGCTGCTTCATTTCATTCTTCAAGTTGTGCTTAGATGTTACTAATAAGATTTGGAAGAATATGTTAGCGTACTAAGCAGGTGAAGGGCAAGTGAATATCACCTTTGAGGTGCTTCGTCCAGGCCTGATTCCGCTAGAGTTCAGGTGGGGGGAAAAAAAGAACCAGAAATGCTTTGTGCCACTGGTAAAATTTGGAAGAATTTATAAAGTGATATTGACTGCTAAGGGACTATCATAATGTTAAAAAAGATACAAGAATTTTGAAACAGACCTATTTAGCCCCCTTTTAGGTAACTCTAGGGTTGCACAGACATTGATCCTAGATCCCTCAATTCGTATCACTTAGGTTCACTTAAGTTTGGTTTTACCACCTGAGTTTATGGTTTAAACCATAAATAAAACAAATGGATTCATTTAGTAATGACAGTTTGAGTGAAACATAATCTAGAATAGGGGAGGACATTCATGTGCATATGAAAAATTCTGCACTAAATATCTGAAGCGAAAAAACAGCTTTAAACATGTAAACAGTCAAAAACTTGAAAAAAGTGAATGATGTGCCAAAAATGGAATTTGAGGAATCCAGAAATGTAATCTATGAAGTAAGTATTGAGAGGTTGTCAGTACTAGACGAAATCAGCTTTTTAGAGCTTGAATTGCAAAAGTTGAAAAGCTAACATATCTAAGGAACTCACAAACGGATTTTCCTTGGGCACTGAAAAGCTTAATAAGTTGCTGAGTATGAGGAAAGATGCGGGTGATTAAGAGGGCTTTCACCTTCCAAAACCTGTTTGCCAAGGCCAAAATTGTAGCAATAAAAGCTAATGCATTGGACAAGGTTGAATCTGAGCTTCTTGACTTCGTTGAGGCTGCAAAGAAAAGTCCTACATTTTCCCAATTCTTGAAGGATTTGACAGTACCTGCTAATACCAGAGTAAAGGCTATAAATTAAGTTTGCGCTCAAGCTAAATTTTCGGACCTCACAAAGAACTTTTTGGGTATGAAGTGCCGGTGGTAGCTCATATTTTATTATGCATGAAACAAGTGGCATAAGAAATAGATTAAACATCAGTGTTTGTTCGCATGATTGATCAATATTTAGACCATTACATGGCTGGTTCAAGTGGTTGGCCATAGCATGTATTTGTGGCCTTCTTTTTAGATATACTAGCTATGGAGCATAGGAACAAGAAGAGGGTCACTTTAGGAATTAAACATGGAGGACAATTTGGTTCTTGCTAGTCAAATTTAGGATTAGTTCTAATCATAATTCTTGTTAACTTTTTCCTATTTCAAAAATTAGACAAAATACTTTGAATTGACATGGTTAGGTAATTAGATTTCAAGAATGAAGGCTATTTTGGTCTCTTCAACAATGGGATAAAAACAGTAGCTGTGTTCTTCGGAGGCCTTAGTGATCTAGCAGACTTGGAGAATTCAAAGAGTACAATCTTTGTCCTTGTAGAAGTCTAGTAGCCTACCGGTGAATGTGTACACCTAATCTGTAGTAGTGTAGAGCAAGGTTGTCAAAACGTGTATTGAAAGGCGTATTGTTTTTCAAAAATTTATATCCCATGTCGTAACGTGTCGTGTATTGTATTGTAAGATACATGCAGTTTTATAAAAGATATTCAAAAATACGTATACCTATGAAAAAAATGTCATAATAACATTTCATTGCACCACATATTTCTCACATAAAATAATTTAAAGACTACAAGGACCAAAACAAAAATTTAATAATCTAAGTATTCAAGTACTAACGTAAACCCACCACATTCTAATGTACAACACAAGACTACTCATGGTGTGCATAACACAAATGAGGTACACACTTTGCAAAGCTCTAAGAAGTCGGAGTCAAAACCTTGTGTTGTCAAAGAATATGCTTGTATGTTTCACATTCAGTGGGCATAGTGATACTAATACTCAATACACCTTGCCTAGGAACAATTCAAAAAAACTGGTGCACCAAGTCAATCAATCCAAAGCCCAAGGATCAAATTATCGTTCTGAAACATTCGAAACGTTCCCGTTTCTAAGGAGATCGAAACAAAACAGTGATGAAATCGAAATTATGATATTTTGAGATATTCCATAATATTTTTAAATGTATTATAATATTTTAATGCATTTGCACAATTGTTTTGGAATATTTTAAGGTATTTCAAGATATTTTGATATATTTTCATCAATGTTTTAGAAAAATAATTCTTAAATTTTTTATTTTTGTCATTATGTTTCCGAAATGGGTCGAAACGTTTTAGAAACACGTCAAAATGTTTCTATTTCCTAGGTGACTGAAACAATACATTGAAACGATATTTTGATCCTTGCCAAAGCCTTCAGTCAAATTCATAGCTTTAGTCGGTATGCAGAATTGAGTCTAGGTACTAAGGTATTACCTTGGAAGAGGTTTGGTTAACCTAAGTTGAGTAATCCTCTTAAACTAGAAAGCAATCCAAAGAGATAAGGAGTACAAAGAAGAAAAATTACTTCTGAACTCAATCGTCATCTAAGGTGCACAGCTACTACCATTTCAAGTTAAAGCCATTTGAGTGAAGAAACATGACTTGACAGATGCACTTGACATAGAGCACCTAAAACAACTGCCATTCAACCCTTTTCCACACAATTCCTACTATTGTTGCACATCACCACCATCTCCATCACAGTTTCATCAGTCCATGAAGAAAAACAGGAAATTGGGAGAGGGGAAATTTAGAGAAATAAGAGATTGAATGCATGTATACAAAGAAAATGAAACTGATGTGTCCAATACTCACCCACCCATCAAATAACTGATATGAGTTCTTAGATTTGGAATTGTCCTCTTCTTATTTCACTGTTGTCAAAAATCCGAAAAAACAAAGGTTGTTTGTCTAACTTCTGACTAGTCTGCTTGTATCTGCATGTATATGAAATCTTGCTGATTAGTTCTTCTTGTCACTGCAATCACTTGGCTTTATCACTCCTTCGCTGGTGATGGTAGTGATGCATATTCATATAGTAAAAAATTATATTAGACCAGATCAAATCGAAAAGTATGAAGAGAGAGAGAATCTAGATGAAGACGACCAGCACCTCCATCTAAAGTCGGTTGACAATTGGGAAAACGGAGTCATGGAAGCTGATCAAGGAGGCTTCCAATTCAGGTTCCCTCTCCATTTGAATCACCTGATTTTTTTGGCAGAGGGCCAGAGATTTGGAGACATCACTGTAGAATTGGAGTTCTGATGGACTTGATAGAGGACTTCAATGATCTTGGTTGAGGAGATCCTTGGGTGTTGGATGATTGTGCTTGCAAACATTGTGTTGGGTGATTTTTGGGTTCTTTAATTTTTGTTAGCTCAGAGAGAGAAAGAAAGAGAAAAGGTTGTGAGAGAGAGTGGTGCAAATATGTGACAAAAAGAGAGGGGCGAGAGAGGGATACTGATACTACAGAGGATACTTTTGTTTTAAAATTTTATTTTTCTTACCAACTTCCATGAACAGTTAAAGTGTATGAATGGATAAGCCAATGGCTGGCCTTAGTCCGCGAACTATAAAAGGGTTATGCAACAGGATCTAACCACAGGGTAAAATGAAGTGTGTTCTGAATATTATGCACTCTAATAAATTGCTCAATACTATTTTTTCTAGGAAACAAACTCTTGTATTAATAAAAAGAAAAAGATAAGTTATAGAAAAGAAGTTGAATAAGAGATCCAACTAAAAACAAATAAAAACAAAGAACAAAAAGAGCCTATAAATCACATGAAGCCCTATATCTCCCTAAAATAGTAAAAACGGAATCCCATTGACCTCTTTTGAAACTAAAACCTAAAAGATGCTAAAAAATGAATACGATTCCATGTTTTATCCATAGATTCATCTCGAACTTCAAAAATTTGCATATTTCGTTCTTTCCAAATGACCCAAAACGTAGTCATTATACTACAATTCCAAAGAGTAACATATTTATCAAGTCTTCCCAACCCCTTTCATATCTTCAACTAACAAAGAAATTGAAATTGCTGGAATCACCCAACTCAAGCCAAGGCAGCTGGACAATTGAGAAATAAATGATCAATGCTCTTGAGATAACCTTTACACATCACACACTACTGAGGGAAAAGACATTAGTGAGGTTTTCGCTTCTGAAACATCTCATTAGTGTTAATCTTTCCATGCTCAACCGTCCATGCAAAAATTTGTATTTTAATAGGGACCTTAGCTTTCCAAATCATCCAAGTAGGAATGAACACAGGACAATTATTTTCATCTAACAAAGAATTCAAAAACCATCCACATGAAAAGACACTCGAATAATCAAACAACTAATCTTGTTTTATCACAAGACTCAACATTAACGAAAACATTAGTAAGAATATCTATAACCGAGATCTAATCAATAGTATCTCTATCATTTAAATTCTTATGAAAACCAAAGTCCCATGAATACAGATAATCATATGAACAAAGTATAGATGCAATGGAAGAATCATGAGAACAAGATAAATGATAGAGACTGGGAAATAAATATTATATAGAAGATTCTCCAATCCACACATTCTTCCAAAAACGTATTGTTTCCTATTACTGACTACAAACCTAACACCTTGGGTAAACCTCGTCAATCCTTGATAAATGAATTCCATGGAACTCGGAATCTTCCTCTCTCAACCACATTAATGTCTCATCCATTGGTATGTTACCCATATTTGCCCTTGATAATTAAACATTTACATGGAACAAAGAATTTGTTTTCAAGGGAAACCTCCGAAGCCACTTACCCATTAATGCAACATTGTTTGCCTTCACATTGCCAATTGAAAGATCTTTGATATCCCTAGATTTAGAAACCACCCCCCACTTGATCAAGTGATCTTTTTTCCTTTTCCCACTTCATTCCCATATAAAATCCGTCATTATTTTTTTGATTCTTATAGCTACTATCTCTTGAAATTTTAAATAAAAATAAAAAGTATGTGGGAATATTAGTTAGAACTGACTGCACTAATCTTCATCCTTTGGATGTAGAAGTCTTCTTCTATCCATCTAAACTTTTTTTTTACTTTTTTCACCACCGAATTCCAAAAAGATAGTGATAATCTACGAAGCACAGATACTTCGTTGAGATTAACGTACCCGTATCGGATACCGTATTAGATACGATACTCATCGGATACTCGAGGATACGTATCGGATACACCTTCTACGTATCCGATAATAATTAAATATTAAGATACTTCACGGATACTTTTGTAGTAGAGCAACATGTATAATTTTTTAATTAAACTTTTAACAACTCTTTTCGAATTCACATACTATACAATACATTAACAAAAATTTCATATTACTTCCAAGGCACATGAGTATTTTTTAAATATTTTCTACAATTACATGTCAAAAAACCATATAGTAAAGCTATTATATTATAATCTTAGTAAAAATTACTTCTAAATACTAGGCAAATATTAGTTTTGATTCTTTTAATTAGTCACTTCCCTTTGGAATATACCACAGCGACACGATATATATTTTCTTGAAACTAAAAAGAATTACTAATTTTCCTTATTATATGTTAAAGAACAACTAAAATATATAAGTGTTAAGTTGGTTAAAAATAATAAAAATATTAAATATATTTTATTATAGCCGTATCCTGGCCGCATCAGTATTCTACTTTTTTAGACTTTATCGTATCACCGTATCCGTATCGTATCGTATCGTACCCGTATCGTGTATCTGTATCCATGCTTCATAGGTGATAATGGATTCCCACCCAACGATAAACCCAAATATTTCAATGGCCACTCACCCACCTCACAACCCATAATTTTTGTTGTCCTATTGAGCTTTGAGTTATCTGAACTAGTGCCCACGATAGCACTTTTATCCATATTCACTTTCAGTGAACCTAACCAAACAAGTCAAACAATATTCTTAAAATTTAAAATCTTTTCCTCCTATCCCACTGAGAAAAATATTGTATCACAAGTGAGAAACTGAAATTCTATTCTTTCCTACACTGAAACTTTTTACAAGATTTTGTCACTTAATCTATCAACAACTAAAGTAAAGAGAGAGAGAGAGAAAGAATCTCCTTGTCTTAATCCTCTAGATGTCCTAAATCTACCTTTTGGTTTTCCATTCCTCACAACAGAGAAATTCAAAATATGTAAACGTCCAAGAATCCATCTTCTCCACCTCCTGCCTTATCCTTTCACTCTCATGACATATTCCAAAAAACCTCAGTCCACATGATCATATATTTTTTTAAAATCAATCTTGAAAACAAATCCCTTCTTACTCCTATCTCTATATTCTTCCACAATCTCATTCGCCATGAAAGTCACATCAAGAATTTGCCTATCCCTAACAAAAGCCCCTTGACACTCGAAAATAGTGCACTAAGAGACTCTCTTAATCTTAAGGATGAAACTTTTGCAATGATCTTATAGAGGCTAGACACCAAACAAATTGCCTAAAATATTTCATTTTCATGGACTTATCTTTCTATGGAATTAAACAAATGAAAGTAGAAATGGTAATTGCATTGACCACACCATTCTAAAAACATTCTCTGAAGACTTTCATTAAATCTTCTTTAACTATGTCCCATCAATTGTGGTACATAGCTAGAGTTAAACCATTCGGTCTAGGGGTCTTATGACTCTTATCACATCCAGAAAAAGCCTTCCTCACTTCTTCCTCCCATAAAAGGTCTCTCCAGCCATCTAGATTTTGCATCATCGGTAGGCCTCCAATCTAATCCTTCAACAATTGGTCTATCACCACCCTAGGATGAGTATAATTGGTTAAAGAACTCAAGAACCTTACTTTCAACCATCACATCTTCTTGTATAATCACCCCATATTCTAACTCCAAGTTATCAATGAACTTCTTTTTCTTCCTCCCATTTGCACCTCTATGAAAAAGCTTAAGAGTTATTGTCCCTTTCTTTTAATCATTTTACTTTAGTCTTTTGTCTCCAACTAATCTCTTCTTTAAAAATCATCTGTTCAAACTAATTTCTTTACTCATATCTCTCTTTTCTCTAATTTTCATTCAGGTCACAATTTTCTTCAATTCTATCAAACTCTCCATATCTATTCATGATAAGACTCTTAGTGACTAATGTCTCTAAACGTTTCCTTGTTCCAACTCTTTACTTTTTTTTTTCACAAAGTCTGATTTTTTCATAAATTTAAAACCTTCTAAACCCTAAAAATTCCAGTCCTCCCACCAACTTCTAAAAAGTCTCCTAAAAATATAGTGTTCAAGCCACATGTTTTCAGACCTAAAAGGACACGGACCCCAACAATGTCTTTTTAGTTTAAAAAAACTACATCGTTTTGGATCTCTAACTTATGAATCCAGCATAATTGGGACATGATTCGTTACAACTCTCGAAAGAACCTCGTATCTTACTGCGGGGAAACGATCCTCTTACTATGGTGAAAACAAAAATCTCTTTGATTTATTACAAACTGAATTTTTCCAAAAATTTGAACAAGTAGAAGTACCATACAAACTGAATTTTTCCCCAATGGATCTTTAAGGCCAGTTTCTCTAATGAAAGAATCAAAATCTCTCATACTTCTAGTCACCCTTGTATCATTCAATTTTTCAGACTACTACCTTTTAACATTAAAATCTCCACCTACACGCCACCTAGGACTACAAAGGCCATACAAGCCAATTCCTCCCACAATCTACTTCTCACTCTTGGACAATTTGGACCATACACGCCGGTTGATCACCAATCTCTTCCCTCAGTAGACTTAATTCTAAACGATATGAAGAATTCACCCTTTATCGACTCCTCCACTTTCACAATTCTCTCATCTCACACAATCAAAATTCCTCTAGATCTACCTAAAGAAGGCAAATGAACCCAATTTCTAAGTCTAGTTTCCCACACACTTTTTATCAAAGTTCTTTCTATTTTTTTCCTTTTAGTTTCTTGTAAAATAACCACATCATACTAACTGCTTAGTTTTTTCTAAATCTTTTAGTTTCTTGATAAATTGCTCTATACTAACTCTGGATGCATCTCTCCACGATTATTGTGCTACAGATCATGTTACATGCTTGTTGTCCATTAGTACTCTCAAAATCAATGAGCTAGATGGATGCTTTTTATACCTCTTATGAGTGACTGACATTGGGACAAGTTTGAATTTTCCATTCTTTCTTCTTTTTTTCCTAGTTTTGTTGCTTGTTTTTCTTTTTTGTGGGCTTTCGTTTTTTGGGTAGATGATAAAGTTCATTCATCAAAATCAGCAGGCAGATATAGCAGAGATAACACAGAAAGCAAGAAACGAAAGATGAGAAAAAAACATTGCCTCATGGTTGAAGAGATACTAGAAAACCTTCTTCATATTTCTATTTTGGTCCCAAGTTAATTTTGTGACCTAGCAATACTTTTTTTTGAAGGAAAGATGATTTTATTTATTCCCTTTTCAGTTTAATAGATGTTTCAGAAGTAAGACTGAAGATGTCTTTGGAAACTGCACCAGCTCAAAGACCACATGGAGTTCTAGGTGTCTGGGGCCCCCTACTGTCAGCTGTAGGGAATGCATTCAAAATTCAGGTCAGACGACTTATTCTCATTGGCTGCTGGAACTGTTTCCTTTTACTAATGGAATTTTTTAGTACTTTTTTAGTACTGCCTCTGATTAAACTCATTCAAGACCAAGGTCTTCAGATAAACGTCCTCTTTATTGACTACCTACCTGTGTGGTGTTATATAGACTTTTGTCTCTTTCTCTGGGATTTATCAAATTCTTAACTATCATTGTTCAGATTACATGTAGATATTGCTCACAACTAATCTGATACACATTTGCTCTTTTCATTTTGTCTCTCCGTTAAAAGAGAGTTATCATCATTTCATGCAGTTGTATCCTGTTAATGGAGTTATAAACCTTTTTTTTTTATTTTTGAATATCATGTTAGCTTTGCACCATATGCTTGAAATATTGAGTTGAAACTTCTATTAGGGGGGGAAAAAAAAAAGGAAGATGAAGAGAGATTATGGAACAATATGGTGTGTAGGATGTATGTTGCCAACACCTTATCACCTATTAATATTAGATTGATATTGAAGACAATTACAATATTAGAAAAGTTGAACATAAAAGGAACATAATAGGAAAGTCGACAATAGGAAAGTAGACAATAGGAAAGTGACATAATAAGAAAGTAGCACAATAAGAAAGTGACACTCTTAACACATTAAAATCACTCAGCTCAAGTCCTCTCAAACAGCATTCTCCTGCTTGGTCTAACTGCATTCCATTCTATCTATTTACCAAATGAATGAGATGCATTCTAATCAACTGAAAGAGGAATTATATTGTTCAAGCATCTAGCCTAAGACCAATCATTGGAATGAAGAGACCCTCAAGGCTTGTATAATTGATTTGGGAGGTCTTACTATATGAATGGAGAACAAAATTTATCATGACAATTGACTATGCATGTACACATAAGAGGGTGTATCAAAAGGAAAGATGGGCCGCCTTTGCTTAGTGGACTTCAGTTGGGTCCATTGATTTTTTAATAATATATGTACTGCTTCACTATTTCAAATATATGTGAAAGACCAATATACCCCTTAGGGGATATACTTATATACTGTAACACTCCATAACCTTGATCATTGTTATTAGAATTTAGAATCCCACAATTTACATCCACAAAATTTTGTTATCTGCTGCTTAAATTTGTTGCTTCTATCATTGTTTTCCTCCAATTTCTTTAACCACTTTATGAATTATTCTTTATCTCAAATTTGAATTTCATGCTGCCAATATGGTGATGTGGAATTGGGGATATTGATTCAGTACATATTTTTGGACTATGCATAGAACATTTTGTCAGAAGTCCATGAATACTAATGGCCCAGTGCTCCTGCTCCATATAACATATGATTGTTCTACTTCAGGTTCATCTGAGGAAAGTGGTGCACAAAGATAGATTCATGAGAAAAAGCTCTGTCATTCCTGCCATTGGAAACCGTATTTGGAGAGATTTAATCCACAATCCGTTACATTTGATCTTTTCAGTAGACGTCCTTGGTTTGACCAGCTCAACATTAGCTTCTCTTAGTAAAGGGTTTGCTGAGCTGTCAACAGATGGACAATTTCTACAATTGCGTTCAAAGCAGGTAATTATTTTTTTGCTATCTATATAATTGGTGTCCTTAAAAGGGCTATTTGACTCCAAGGAGAATTGTATAATGGGATCAGGTATCTTCAAGAAGAATTACTGGGGTAGGTGATGGAATTATGCAAGGGACAGAAGCTCTTGCACAAGGTGTTGCTTTTGGTGTGTCTGGAGTAGTGACAAAGCCTGTGGAGAGTGCTAGACAGAATGGTCTTCTTGGGCTTGCTCATGGGCTGGGACGAGCTTTCCTGGGATTCATTGTACAACCAGTGAGTGGAGCATTAGATTTCTTCTCACTGACTGTGGATGGAATTGGAGCAAGTTGTTCGAGGTGCTTAGAGATTCTCAATAACAAGACAAGCTTCCAAAGAATCAGAAATCCCCGGGCTATTCGTTCTGACAATGTGCTGAGAGAGTATTGTGAGAGAGAAGCAGTTGGGCAGGTACCTTTGTCATTGATTTTTTTTAAGCGTGTGTGCTGTGTTAACATGTCTATCTAATGCTGAGTTTGGTTTAGCGCATGTGTGCTACATGATGTCTTCCTATACTGATTTCTATATAACACAGTATGTATAATACATGCATAAATACATTCCTACGTACATACATGTGTTTTACTCTCCCAATCCATTATACTGCTGATCCTTGAAAATTGGAAAGCTATGAACTGGGACGACTTCTCTGTCAATATCTCACTCTCTGCCAATTACATTTCCCGCAGCAGCGACCTTCATGTTAGAAATGCAGGCTCAGATCATGATTCTGAAGGTTGCTTTTAGATTTGTGAATCACTCTTTCAAAGATGGTGTTCAGAATAGGGCAATGTTTGATGGAGGCAGAAATGTGAGGGTGGATGGAGAAAGTTGGAGGTTAAGTGTGTATAGTATTGGTGGTGAACATGGTTCAAAGTATTGGCCGATTCCGGTATGACTTGCCTGAGCCTCTCTGATCCGATAAAATTACCTGTTACGCAAATTTAGCTTGACTCGGTTACGAATCGGGCAACTGGGCAAGAATCGGAGTCCAACGATTGGACTCGATGATTCGTAACCGATTCGAACCAACACATGGTGGAATCGTCCAAAAAACTCAGAAAGCAAAAAACCAAAGCAAGAACGCAGAGTGGGAAGAAAAACATGAGACCCACATTGAGATTCACCAAACTTAATGCAAGTATTGAACCCTAAATCTGAAATTGTAGAAACAGAAAATCAAATTGGATGAATTTGTAACATACACCTGTAAAATCTAAGGTATTATTGTGAATTCAAATCACAGGGAGGCTGCTGCTTCTTCGTCATGAAGATGTCACAGTTTTGCAGGCTCAACATCATTGCATCGTATTTTCTTCTCCGATTTCATCTCATCGACTGCACCTCTCTCTCTCTCTCTCTCTCTCTCTCTCTCTCTCTCATCATGGAATGGTGGTAGGCAATACCCTGCAATACGATGATGATGACTTGGACGGCTCGGTTGGTTCATCTGAGACGACTTAAAGTCATCCGCAAGTAATGGGCAGTTCTCTATATGACTCAGCTCTGTTGTATCAGTATCGACTGATATTTTGAACCATGATTGTGTCAACACGGAATGCCTATGAACACTAAATTGCATAGGTGTAAGTTGTAACAATGTCAATCAACTTTACAGTCATTTGACTGCAGAAACACTCCAATACATAGCACTGCTGACAATAGATGAACGACATACCAACGAATTGGAGGGTGGAAACTAAAGGATGAAGAGGACGAAGAATTGTGAATCAACCAGATTATTTGCCTCTAATATGCTAAAGAAAGAATTCATCAAGGCTGTCGATAGTCTCCTACTTAACTGAGGTTTAGATTGTGATGGGTTCATGGTGGCTTCAAAATGTGTCTTGACGCTCGAGTAGGGTTTAGGTTGAAGTGGTCGTAAAGGGATTGATTTGATTTGTTTCAATTCCTCCCATGTTGTGTTGGTTTTTTAGTTTAATTTCTTAAGTTGGGATAACTGTCTACAGAATTTGTCCCTTGTTGCTCTACCTTATATCATGGATGAAATGAGTGTTTGAATTTGACAATTCATCCTTTCCACAAAGGTTTGAAATGAGTGTTTGAATTTGACAATAAAAAAGGTTTTCCGTGGGAAGATTCTCTTTGTATGTTCCCTATTTTGCCTCCCAGACCAGCAGACAGGCAGAACTTTGTAAGAATAAGAACTGTATGGAATCTTTTGGTGTCAAATGGGATCCTTAGTGTTCAAAAAAAAAAAAAATGGGATCCTTACATAATTGCGTTGTATCTTAGTTGAGTAAGGAAAATGCATCTGCAATTTAACAAAATTATGCATCCAACTATGTGATTGTTTATACTAATGGAAACCTGTGTACACCATATTTGATGCACTTTACTCTCCAATTTTGGTTTCAGATGATACTTTACCTTGCAGAAGCAAGTCGACATTTTGGGTGTACTGAAATATTCAGGGAGACCTCAAAGTTTGCCTTTTCTGATTACTACGAAGATCATTTTGAGGTGCCCTACCAAAGGATAGTTTTAGTAACTAATAAACGAGTCATGCTGCTACAGGTTGGCCTAGGAAACTCTTTTATGTTCGCCTTTTTCAACCATTCTTTTGAATATTTTGATTTTTCTTGCCGCCTTCATATTGATTTCATGTGTTTTTTGCTTCGAGAAGTGTATGGACGCTGATAAGATGGATAAAAAGCCCTGCAAGATCATGTGGGATGTACCTTGGGAAGAGCTCATGGCGCTGGAGTTGGCAAAAGCAGGCTACCCCAGACCTTCTCACTTGATTCTCCATCTAAAAAATTTTAGAAGATCTGAACCCTTTGTGCGAATCATAAAGTGCAGAGTTGATGAAGAATCAGAGGGGAGAGAATCGCAGGCTCTTAGGATCTGTAAAGTGGTGCGGAAGATGTGGAAAGCACATCAGTCTGGCACAAAATGCGTCATGTTAAGGGTTAGCATTGTGAATGGATTCGTTTTACTCTGGGGAGTCATACATGTATCTGATCTAGGATTTTTCTCCATGTGCAGGTTGCTTCAATCCAGAGATATGTGTGTTTTGCTTGGAGTGAAGCTGATGGGCGAGACCCTCATAATCAGCTTAGAGCTGTTGTCAAGTCACAAGAGATTTCTTTATCTGATTCTGTTCCTGACACAAGCAGATTTGTTAAACACACTATAAATTTTTCAAGAGTTTGGAGCAGTGAACAACAATTGAAAGGCCAATGCACATTGTGCCGAAAGCAGGTGAGTAGCGTCACCTCATTAGTACTTTCTTTCAGGGTTTTAGTTCCCTGGAAGAAGTCGTACTCACAAGCTTCCCTCTTTTCAGGTTCTGGAAGGTGGTGGGTTATGTAGCATTTGGCGACCATTTTGTCCTGATGGGTAATTGCTGTTCATTCTGTTGAGTCCAAACTAATCTACCTTAATCTTAGCATTGCTACTACTTGCACAAATTGGTCAGAAAATGGCATAATTTGACGTTATCAACAACATTTTCCTGTCTGTATGTTGATCCTAACATCAGAATCTCAGAGGTCATTAGAATTGGCAGACTTGCTGACATTTTTCCCTAACAATGATCAGCTTGAATGTATGAAATGATTTTTTGTCAGTCTGTGTTAGAAATCATAAATTACTGGTGCAGTGCTCGCAATGTCCTTCAAATATGCTAATTACAGACTAGATATTTGTTGAAATTTCCGATGGCAATAACTTGACATCTAACTTACCAATAAAATGTTACATTAGACGTATGCTTACAATGGGGTCCAAAGAGAACAAAACATGGAAGTTTTGCAAACTGCAATTTTATTTAGATGCCTTTGAAGGTAAGGACCAGTTTATTGAATTTAGAAGAACCATGGATGTTACGTTGCTATACCTGGCAAAAGCTCCCTGTAGACCTTTTTTGATCCATTGCTTCCGAATGTATGTGTTTAATACTGGTTAGATGCTGATGATTTTGTGCTGATTCTTAAAATCTGAACACAGAATTTCACTCTTCAGGTATGTCTCAGTAGGGGATGTAGCTCGTGTTGGCAGCCATCCTCCGAATGTTGCCGCTGTATATCGTAACAGTGACAAACTGTTTACTATTCCAATGGGTTATGACCTGGTAAGAATTTTGGGAACAATTGCAGAAATTTGTCACAATTGTTCCCTTACTGTGTATCAGACGCCTTTGACTATTTAAGTTCATCTTTTAATATACATCTCTTGTAATGTCATATAAAATTGATTGGCAAGTGTTTCACTTGGCAATGCATTTAGGAATGTGCGATGTTGTTTCTGTTGGCGACTCAATTATGAACTAAATAGTTGAGTTAAGAGTCATTCTGATGATTATGACCCAACTCCTTTACTGTCAACCAATTGTCGACACGCATATTCAGTGCTGGTCTGTAACATATCTTGAAGAGAAAAGACATTTAATTGTAAAAAATTAGGTTGTTTTGCAAACTTTTATTTGTTTTTCAAGATGGGCTCCCCCCCCCCCCCCCCC